CCATGATTTTCCATAGCTTTCACGGTTAAATTCTTTTGGAGTCCTTCCCATGGCCCCGAGGTCCTCGCCTACGACGCGTTGCCCGAAGCCCTCGCTGCCAGCAGCGCGCTGGGCGGCGCCGCAGCGCCGCGGGGCCTCGTCGTGGCGCTGCTGTTGGCCTGTCATGATGGGGTGACCTGGGACCTGGGAACGTGTCGAATCCCGTAGGGTAATGTACTATGGGTGTAAAACGGGACAAACTTACTGTGGATGGTTGCGAAATCCTGCACCGCCTTGGATGGTTGAAACCCTATAAATAATGGAATAAACCAGCTATCAACTGGTGCAGGATTTCGCAACCATCCACAGTAGCGATGGAAAATGAAACATTTATAGATGGTTTAGCTATTTAAGGTAATGTTAGTTCAGCAGGGGGTGAAATCATGGGATGTTGCCCAACAATATCTGCACATAACTGCTATGGTTGATGATTGGGGAAAACATGGAGGTTTCCGAAGTATTTTGGGATTTTCCAACCATCGAGCTATTGGGGTACCCCCATGACTTAGGAAACCTTCATACAGGGATAGAATGGGATTTAGTGTAATGAATTATTGATGACCTTTAAGCAAAAAAAAATCAAGATTCGCTTCTTTTTCACTTCTACCGAAATCTCGGCGGCAAAGGTGTTGCGAATCCATGCGACTCCCACATAGAATCTGAAAGATTCAACCGCTAAATTGGAAAGGACTTGGTTGGTTGGCCATTGATACGAGTTTGTACACGAATCGGGTAATTTTACATGGTTTTCTGGCCACTTTAGTGTTGGAGATGATAATGCACCAGTGGATAGAATGGGGGATTTGCGCCCATATTGATTAGTGACCTTTCCTCTTACTTTGAATTCCAGACAGTTGTCTGAACATGTTACACACAATTTTTTGCAGGCTACCTTTCCGTTATTGTGAGCCTCTTGGCTACTCTCGCATGTTTCGCCTCTATTTCCGATCCCCCGAATTAGAAAACGTTTCTTTTAAATTAACAAAGCCTCATGTGTGTTTGTGATTATAGCTCCATACATTCTTTCGCTTGGCATTGGCATCCTTGAGCCTCTCTTGTAGCACCCCGTTCAGCCCAACAACACATCTGATTCTCGATTCTTTCCCTGAACTCACATTGCTCAAACAATTTCCGATTAGTTTCCTTTTTCACTTTCTTTTTCCTTGGTGACATTCCATGTTTTCGGCCACTTCCCTGGTAATTTCTGTTTGTTGACGTCCCCATCAATGGGTCGTGACGTTCTCCGAGCCTCGAGGTGGGCGAGCTCTTTGCGGACGCGCGGATCCAGCGCCTGCCCCTCTCCTTCAAACCGCTGCTGGGCGCGCCGGTGTTGCGGCTGTGCTCAAAGCCAGGCGCCAGCGCCTGGGCCTGGAAGTGGCACCATAGGTGACATCCAGCCATTCTTATTGGTGACATTCCCATTGTGCCGGGAGCCAGAATGAGCCAGCAAATTCAACTAGGATGACCAGTGAGTTTGGTTGAGTGGTTGGTAAGTGGATTGTACAGAAATTATAGACACCAGGAATATCATGAAATGTGCTCAGTTGCACGTCATTCAATCATTCATGAAGGGAAAAATGGCAGGAAACCAATCCATTGAGCTAACTTCCAGGATGATCTCAGAATGATTGGTGGTCCCTTTTCAAGGCTTCCCCACAAGACGGACTAATCGGATATTGGCATCTCCAGACTATGACACAAGTGTATTTCCCACCTTTTGAATTCCTTGAATCTTTTCAATCTTATATCCCCTCCCTTCAGTGCTGGTTCCATTGAAACTTTCATCCTCAGTTATATGCATCTTCGGCTTCATCTGCAATTTCATCATCACTATCGTCGCCAGATATTTTGTATAGACGGAATAGAACGGAATAGAACAGAAAAGAACGGAAAAGAAAAGAAGCGGATAGATTGAATAGATCGAGTACATAGAATAGAAAGAGTGGATAACATAGGATAGCATAGGATAGGATAGGATAGGATAGCAAAGGATAGCATAGGATAGCAAGATAGATAGGTAGATAGGTAGGTAGATAAGATAAGAGAAGAAAAGTTAGGATAAGATAAGATTACATTGGATTAGATTAGAGAAAGGTAGATATAGATAGACAGATAGAGGTCGATTGATCGATCGATCGATAGATAGAGATAGAGATAGAGATAGAGAAAAAGAAAGAGATAGAGATAGATAGATAGATAGATAGATAGATAGATAGATCGATAAATCGATAGATCGATAGATCGATAGATCGGTAGACCGATAGATAGATAGATAGATAGATAGATAGATAGATAGATAGATAGATAGATAGATACAGATAGAAAGATAGAAAGATAGAGATAGAAATATAGAGATAGAAAGATAGATAGATAGAGATAGAAAGATAGAGATAGAGATAGAGATAGATAGATAGAAAGATAGATTTAGATAGATAGATAGATAGATCGATAGATTAGATAGAATAGATTAGATTAGATTAGGTTAGGTTAGGTTAGGTTAGATAGATAGATAGATAGAAAGATAGACAGATAGATAGATAGATAGATAGATAGACAGATAGATAGACAGAGAGAGAGAGAGAGATAGATAGATAGATAGATAGATGGATGGATGGATGGATAGATAGATAGATAGATAGATAGATAGATAGATAGATAGATAGATAGATTAGATAGATGGATGGATGGATGGATAGATAGATAGACAGATAGACAGACAATAGAATAATACTAGATTCACGCTAGAGTAGACTAGAAAAGAAAAGAAAATCATAGAATACAATGACACAGAATAGAACAGAAGGGAATAGAAAAGAACAGAACTGAATAGACCAGAATAGAATAGACAATAGAATAGAATGGAGCAGCAGTAGAGTAGAATGGAACAGAATAGAGTAGCAGCAGAATAGAATAGAATAGAGTAGAATAGAATAGAATAGAGTAGAATAGAATAGAGTAGAGTAGAATAGAATAGAACAGAATAGAATAGAACAGAATAGAATAGAACAGGCATAGGAATAGGAATAACATTGATAGATAGACTGACACACAGACAGCCAGGCATACAGACAGTCAGATAGATTGGTCAAGTCAGGGCAGGTGAGTAGATTGGATCAGATCAGATTCGATTGATAGATATTTAAATGATAGATGGACAGACAGATCAATACATGGATATGTACTATGTAGCATGGAGATCGAACAGCGCAAAACAAAAGCCATTTTCAGCTCTCAGCACGGAAATTCCTAGCAGTGCAGACGAACAACCATCATTAGAATTTTCGGGGATTATGGTGGGTACAGGGTTTTAACACCAACTGCATGCAAACATGCAGGCATTAATTCCTTTTCTTTTGACACATTCATGTTGCGGAGAATCTGTGGAATCCCGCATCCAACATTTTTCCTGCTCCCTATGTTGCTTGAATGAGCAAAACCATGTAGCCATGGGCGGGTTGCTGATGGACCCTGGAGGTTCGCTTTGACCCACATTTTGGTCCAGCGATTGGAACTACCGCCGTCGCTCACAGCAGTTACAGCAGCGTGAGCCATGACTGTGGGATGTATCTCGTTTCGGTAGAGGCAAACCAAAGTCACAGCTGGCCATGAGCAATTTGCGACCTTACTTCTTTGAGTGGAGTGGCAAGCCATTTTGTGAATGTGTGACTCTGCCACACCTTGAACCCAAAAGCTGGTAGATCTGAATTGAAACAACGGATCTGCACCTTTGTGTAGCATGCACCATGCCCGCGAACTGCGGACTGCGTGAAAGTCCCTTGAAATGTCGTGTCAAAAGATCGTTGGCGTTTTGTAGGGCCAAACCCCAAGAGTTGTGAAATGAGCGATGCGCCTCGTGTCGGGTTCTGAGCAGATGCCCGGAGCGGTTGACCATGTCGGTTGGTTGAAAGCTGATCTTGATGGTTGAAAATGTTGCAACAAAAAGCGCGTAAATCTGTTGTTTTCAAGGGGTCTTGACCTTTCCCCGTTTGAGAACTAATTTTTGCTTCCTGGCCCCTCAGTTAGAATGATTGTATGCTTGAGCAAAATGTCCATGAGGAAATCAGATCTTGGAAATGTATAAAATCAAAGTGCCCCGGTGGTCCTGGTGCACAGTGGCTATTGAAAACCCAGGCCATTTGACCAAGTTGCGTTTTTTCGCTCGACGAAGATGTGGCCATTGGAGGGCTGTTTTGGCTCGCAGACGACGTTCCAACTGCATCAGAAGCTGCCTTTTGCCTCGTTCTTCGATGTTGTTCAAGTGAGACAACCAAATTAGACAGCTGTAACTCCCGTTCGTAGTCCGGACCGGCCGGTGACTGCTGAACGGTCCCCAAAGCTGATAGCTGGAGCAGGTGGGTCTAGAAGGAAACTAGTTTTGAGAGACATGTGAAAAGGGAGCGATTAGCACTGCCTTCATCCGTGCTCGGCTGTACATCACCGTGCCATTTTTTCAAAAGACGGCGTTCACACATAGCAGAATATGAACCATGTACGTACAATCTAACGCAGAGAACAGTGTCCGTTTCGCAGAAAGAATGTGTTCGGAAGGCGCTGCAGTCATCCTGAGAGGAACAACGCGGCCTCCAATTCAGATGAGTAAAGACCAGCTTGTGCTTCTGGAACAGCTCCCCAAACTCCCCAAACTGACAGCTGGAGCGATCCTGCAGAAGCGAATCAGTTCGGAGCTTGGATAAGTGCTCGCAACATGTAAATCGAACCACAGGCATCACTGCCGAAGCTGCTAGATGCGTCTGAGCCACTTTCTGTGAGAAGCCGCTTTACAGTTGCTGCACGCAGCCGAATTAATGTACGTGCAGACTCAACAACCACGTTTGTTTGCGAAACAGCAATTTTTGCAGGTGCTGGAAGGAAAGAAGGTGGCCTGCAGTCCTTTGTTTCCTAGTACAGGCAGGCTTGTGACTTACAAACTTCCCACCTTTGGATAATTTGGCAGCAAGAGCGGGCAGATCTTGCAAAAAGCATTCGTTTGCAAACATGGACATCACGCATTCTTTTCCAAGGCAATGCCAAATTTGACATTTGGAGCGGGTAGATCTTGCAGAAAGCAGCCAGTAGGGAGCTTGGAATAAGCGTTCGCAGCATGTAAATGCGGGGCACTGCGGTTGAAGCTGTAGATGCTCCTGAGAAACTCTCTCCGAGAGGCGGGTTCGCATTTGCCGCAAACAACCGAATGCATGCGCGTGCCGACCCCATTACGGCTTTTGGTTTCATGACAGCAATTTGGCAGGTGCTGGAAGGAATAGCATGGCCTTGGAACAAAGCCACACATGCACGGACCGGTCTATCCGCTGGTCATTTCAGAAAAGTTCCCAATTTGGTCAGCTAGAGCGGGTAGATCTTACATGAGACAAACACAGTCGAGAGCCATGGGCACTGAAGTCATCCCAGCTCACCACTTGGCTTTGGATGGTTTGGAACCATTGTCTGTAAATTCTGGGGAGGTAAGCTGGTCGGTTTTGCATTGCCATTTGTAGCCTTGATGAGCTAGCAATTCTGCATCTGTTGAGAGGAGCAACATGGCCTGCAATCCAAACAGGACCAGTAAAGACCAGCTTGTGCTTCCGGAACAGCTCCTCAAACTGACAGCTGGAGCGATCCTGCAGAAAGCAGCCAGTAGGGAGCTTTGATAAGCGTTCGCAGCATGTAAATGCGGGGCACTGCAGTTGAAGCTGTAGATGCTCCTGAGAAACTCTCTCTGAAAGGCGGGTTCGCACTTGCTGCACAGAACCGAATGCATGTGCGTGCCGACTCAATCACGGCTTTTGGTTTCATGAAAGCAATTCTGCAGGTGCTGGAAGGAATAGCATGGCCTTGGAACCAAGCCAGACATGCACGGACCGGCCTATCTGCTGGTCATTTCAGAAAAGTTCTCAATTTGGTCAGCTAGAGCGGGTAGATCTTAGATGAGGTAAGCACAGTCGAGAGCCATGGGCACTGAAGTCATCCTAGCTCACCACTTGGCTTTGGATGGTTTGGAACCATTGTCTGTAAATTCTTCGGAGGTAAGCTGGTCGGTTTTGTTATCGTTGCCATTTGTAGTTGTGATGAGTTAGCAATTCTGCATTTGTTGAGAGGAGCAACGTCGCCTGCAATCCAAACAGGACCAGTAAAGACCCGCTCATGCTTCCAGAACAGCCCCCCAAAACTGACAGCTGGAGCGATCCTGCAAAAGCAAACCAGCTTCGAGCTTTGACAAGCGTTCGCAGCATGTAAATCGAACCACGGGCATCACTGCTGAAGCTGCTAGATGCTCCTGAGCCACTTTCTTTGAGAAGCCGCTTTACAGTTGCTGCACGCAGCCGAATTAATGTACGTGCAGACTCAACAACCACTTTGTTTGCGAGACAGCAATTTTGCAGGTGCTGGAAGCAATAGCATGGCCTGCAAAGGGACACAAGTATGCATTCCAGTTATTTCTGACAGCTAGTGCGGGCAGAGCTTATATGAGGAATCCATCTGGAATCCGAAATCCTTGCCAAGAATGAATGTACAATTTAATCCAAAACCATGGGCCTTTCAGCCATTGTAGCTGACTACTTGACATTGGATGGTCCGAACCATTGTCTCTGTAAAAATCCGGAGGAGGCAAGCTCACATGCTACATGTAGGTCGGTTTAGGTAGCATTGTCAATTGTAGTTTGTGTAGTTTTGATGAGTTAGCAATTCCTGCATTTGTTGAGAGGAGCAACATCGCCTGCAATCCAAACCGGAGCAGCAAAGACCCGCTCATGCTTCCAGAACAGCCCCCCAAAACTGACAGCTGGAGCGATCCTGCAAAAGCGAACCAGTTTCGAGCTTTGACAAGCGTTCGCAGCATGTAAATCGAACCACAGGCATCACTGCTGAAGCTGCTAGATGCTCCTGAGCCACTTTCTTTGAGAAGCCGCTTTACAGTTGCTGCACGCAGCCGAATTAATGTACGTGCAGACTCAACAACCACTTTGTTTGCGAGACAGCAATTTTGCAGGTGCTGGAAGCAATAGCATGGCCTGCAAAGGGACACAAGTATACATTCCAGTTATTTCTGACAGCTAGTGCGGGTAGAGCTTATATGAGGAATCCATCTGGAATCCGGAATCCTTGCCAAGAATGAATGTACAATTTAATCTAAAACCATGGGCCTTTCAGCCATTGTAGCTGACTACTTGACATTGGATGGTCCGAACCACTGTCTCTGTAAAAATCCGGGGGAGGTAAGCTCACATGCTACATGTAGGTCGGTTTAGGTAGCATTGTCAATTGTAGTTGTTGTAGTTTTGATGAGTTAGCAATTCTGCATTTGTTGAGAGGAGCAACGTCGCCTGCAATCCAAACAGGACCAGTAAAGACCCGCTCATGCTTCCAGAACAGCCCCCCAAAACTGACAGCTGGAGCGATCCTGCAAAAGCAAACCAGCTTCGAGCTTTGACAAGCGTTCGCAGCATGTAAATCGAACCACGGGCATTACCGTCGAAGCTGCTAGATGCGCCTGAGCCACTTTCTTTGAGAAGCCGCTTTACAGTTGCTGCACGCAGCCGAATTAATGTACGTGCAGACTCAACAACCACTTTGTTTGCGAGACAGCAATTTTGCAGATGCTGGAAGCAGTAGCATGGCCTGCAAAGGGACACAAGTATGCATTCCTGTCATTTCTGACAGCTAGTGCGGGTAGAGCTTATATGAGGAATCCATCTGGAATCCTTGCCAAGAATGATGTACAATTTAATCTAAAACCATGGGCCTTTCAGCCATTGTAGCTGACTACTTGGCATTGGATGGTCCGAACCACTGTCTCTGTAAAAATCCGGGGGAGGCAAGCTCACATGCTACATGTAGGTCGGTTTAGATAGCATTGTCAATTGTAGTTTTTGTAGTTTTGATGAGTTAGCAATTCTGCATTTGTTGAGAGGAGCAACATGGCCTGCAATCCAAACAGGACCAGTAAAGATCCGCTCATGCTTCCGGAACAGCTCCCGAAACTGACAGCTGGAGCGATCCTGCAGAAGCGAATCAGGTGGGAGCTTTGATAAGTGTTCGCAGCATGTAAATCGAACCACGGGCATTACCGTCGAAGCTGCTAGATGCTCCTGAGGCACTTTCTTTGAGAAGCCGCTTCACAGTTCCTGCGCGCAGCCGCATCCATGTACGTGCAGACTCAACGACCGCTTTTGTTTGTGAGACAGCAATTTTGCAGGTGATGGAATGAGAAATGTGGCCAGCAAACCAAGCCAGACAAATATGGACCGGCTTGCTGCCTGCCTGTCATTTCCCCAAAGTTCCCAATTTGGAGAGCTTGAGCGAGACGATATTTTCATGACAAATCCATGTGGAGTTCTTGAGAAAAATGTGCATAGAGTCTACCCTGGGCACTGCATTCTTCCTAGTTCATCACTTTGCTTTGAATCGTTTCAAACAATTTTCAATGGAAAACCCGGAGTCAAGCTCGCATGTATCTATATGCAGATTGGTTCAGGTAGCAGTGTTGGTTTGATGACAAAGATTTGGCACGCACTGAAAGGACGATCGCGGCCCGGAAATCTTTTCATCATATTACAGACAGGCTTGTGACATAAAGTTCCCACATTTGGATATTTTGGCAGCTACAGCGGGCAAATCTTGCAAAAAACATTCGTTTGCGGGCGTGGACATCGCGCATTCTTGTTCAACCCTTCATGCCAAATTTGACTCTTGGAGCGGGTAGATTGTAGATCTTGCAGAAAGCAACAAGTAGGCAGCTTTGATCAGCTTTTGCAGCATGTAAATCGAACGAGGGGCACTGCACTTAAAGCTGTTGATGCTCCTGAGAAACTCTCTCTCTCTGAGAGGCGGGTTCGCACTTGCTGCACGCAGGTGAATGCATGCGCGTGCTGACTCAATTACCGCTTTCCGTTTCATGACAGCAATTTTGTAGGTGCTAGACGGAATAGCATGGCCTTGGAACCAAGCCACACATGCACGGGCCAGCCTGGCTGTCACGCCTGACAACTTCCGAATTTGGTCAGCTAGAGCGCGTGAATTTTGCATGAGGCAAACAGAGTCTAGAGCCATGGGCACCGCAGTCATCCTAGCTCACTTGGCTTTGGATGGTTTGGATCCATTGTCTGTAAATACCGGAGAGGTAAGCTCACATGCAAGGTGCATGTAGGTCGGTTTCGATATCAGTGTCACTTGTAGTTTTGATGAGTTAGCGGTTCTGCAAATGGGCCCCAGGAGCAACATGGCCTCCAATCCAAACCAGAGCAGCCAAGACAGCTTCCCAAATTGATAGCTGGAGCGATCCTGCAGAAGCGAATCAGGTAGGAACTTTGATAAGCGTTCGCAGCATGTAAATCGAACCATGGGCATGACGGTTGAAGCTGCTCGGTGCTCCTGAAGCACTTTCATTGAGAAGCCGCTTCACAGTTCCTGCACGCAGCCGAATCAATGTACGTGCAGACTCAACGACCGCTTTTGTTTGTGAGACAGCAATTTTGCAGGTGATGGAATGAGAAATGTGGCCAGCAAACCAAGCCAGTCAAATATGAGTCTGGCCACACATGACATGTCCTCAATGTCTGCACTGTGACGGCCATACAGCTCGGATTCAAGCGACGGCAGCCGTTGTCTCTAAAACGACGTGCAGCAAACTCACCACACACAATCACCTATGTATACTTGCAGATTCCGAAAGCTTGTCTGGTTTGATGAACCAAGCTCCCTGGAAGGACAGATATGGACACGGAAATCGTTGGCAGTGTTGGTTGGTTCTGTGACAGCTATTTCAATCCAATTTCTACTGTGCCGGCAAGCACGTCACAGCAGGCAATCTGCAAAATTTTGGCGTACTCTCCTTGGTGCTTGGCATTGTCAACGATCTGGGCTGCAAGAAACAAGGTGGTTTGCAATCCACTTCAATGGTACGGACGAGCTTGTCTCTGCGCGACAAATGACAACTTGACAGCTGCAGGGTGTAGACCCTACATGTTCCTCTGTGGTAACTTCCGACCATCTTTTGCATGTCCAGAGCCAGTTTCTTGTCCAATAATCAGCCAGACAGGCACTGACAGTGAATGCATTTGGTCAAAGTACACAACATTCGAGGTTGAGGTTGGGCAACTGACGAATGAATATGCACAGTAGTGGGTTCGCAAAGGGATCTGTGTTTTTCGATCTTAAAGTTCGTTCGATTTTGAAAGCTCGAAGCCTGAAGGCGACAGTTGGAGTACTAGACCAAAGCCAAGATTCGCAGTGCAACCACAGTGTTGTTGGCAAATGCCAGTGGCTGCTGAAAGCATCAGAAACAGGTAGAAGTTCCTCCATCCCAATGAGTCTTGGTTTTCAGTACAGTTTGCTCCAAGCAATGAGGCTCCGTGTAGTCTTAGGCTGAGTTCCTGCCGCTACTGCTCAGTCGGAGTCGGGAGCCGCTTGTGCAGCAGCTGGTTCCTGTCACTTCGCTGTACTCGTAACAAATTTCGTGCAGTTTGACCAATGAAGTTGACACACTAAGAGTTTTGTTCCTGTCCAACTTCAAGCAATCTTTTCCAGGCATCAACCGGCCATGTGATCCAAATGAACAACCAAAGACAGTGCTTTCAATGCTTCGCTGCACCTTCTTGCAGTTGGAGAGGAAGCAGTCGTTTGATGATGGGTTGGAGAAGATTCCACCACTGATGGCATTCTGCATTTGTGTTGTGCGCATATGGTTTGGTCTCTGCAAGTGGTGAAAGTGAATACTGCCACACATGAGAGCCATCAACATGGCCGGTTGAGGGCTGGTTGCGCAGTGGAATTCATTCTTACTGCTACTGAACGGGGCAACACGAGAGCAAGCTTTTCACAAGCTTCGTGCAAGCTTCGCGCAATCTCCAAATTGACGGCATGATGATCATGGAAGGCAAGAACCACTCTGAAAGATGCCTCGTGCCTGCACCACGGCAAAAACATCCCAATTCCAGAAATCATTTTGGTGCAAGCCCGCGCAAGCTCATCTCAAGAAAATGAGCAGGCGTGCGTGCGTTCGCACGCCTCTAGGAATGTGCTCTTGTCGCCCCGATGTTCGCTCACCTGCTCCAGCGCGGTACCGCTTGGATCCAGGTGCACCATTGGGTGTCAAGAATCGGCTGGACCAAAATCATTCCCCGAGCAAGTTTTGAATGTCGAACATGGCAACATATCGACTGAGTTCATGAAATTGGGCCGTTGCGAAGATGGGCAGCTTTCCTGAGCCACCGCAAAAACCCCGGCAATACTCAATATGTATTGGATGGATGCTTATGGAAATTGATAGAAATTGTTAAAAACACACGGTAAGCGATGGGACCTTCCCAAAGTAGCGATACCCCTTTTCAAGATTATGTCATTGTATTTCTCTAATATCCACATTAGCGATACCCAAATTGGGCGTTGATTTCTGTGAATTATATATTTAAAAATGTAGCAGTTTCCTGCAAGCGATACCCCCCAAGTTTACCATATATCATTATTGTACAAACGTGTGGTAATCGATGGGACCTTCGCAAATTTGTGGATGTCTTTTCCGTGAACCTAGGGTTTTCGAGATTGCTCTCCTGTTGTACATTTGTCAAACTTGATCTGGAACAAATTGTTTCCAGCAAAGCGGGAAGTGTGCTTCTCATGGGGCAACTTAAGACTTAAGACTTGTCAAATTCAAACTTGAAAGAGACACTTCGCAAAGCTGAGGAGGTGAACCTGCAAAGAAGGAATGCGTTTTACAATTGGGTTCCTTAAGGTTCCTTTGGTGGTTGAATGTCGCGTTTGGGGATCATCGTGTGGTTGTCAACAGAATCATGGACATGGACAAAAAAGGTTCCAAAAGCGCAAGCAACGAATTGCACCAGTTTTGGGTGAAATATTTCGATAATTCTGTTTCAATCAACATGTGCTTATGTGGTGGTCGAAGGAAGTTTAGAAGTCAAACTTCCGACAAGATCCTTCCACGCCTATTCGATCTGTCGTGGACCTCCAGGGATGGTCCGCTGAGGCTCGGCAGCGCATTGCGAGTGTCAAACGTGGCAGTTCAAAACGCTTCTGAGAAGTTTCACAGATCAGCTGGCTGGTGGTTTCAGTTTTGTTTATTTATAATCCTTCCATCAAGTGGCTGGTTGTTTCACACATCGGCCGGCTGGTTGTTTCACAGATCACCCGTCCATCCAGTGATTTTGGGTCCTGAAATGCGCCATGAGTAGACACGTCCCAAGTTCAGTGGGCCCCATGCTCGGCAGCGGCATCTGCCATAGAAATCGAGGGGGGGATGTTGGTCTCCCTTCAGTACCCGGTACTTAAGTGTTACCTCGAATACCTCGAAACACAAGACCGCCCTAGTACTTGTGTTTGAGCGCAAGATTCCTTCAATTGCGCCGTACTTAGCCCTGCAAGAAAATACAGAGATGTCATGCCGGCGGAAATCACACATGGAGGGCGAATGGAGACAAAGAGGCTCAGCATCCCTGGCGTTTGTGGAATTGTGGGCAAGAATCTGCAGTCAGAGATATCTGGCCCAAAGGGGACAAGCGGGCCATCACAACCCCCTTGAAAAAGCTGGGCTTGGAGGTCCCACAACAGCTGTTCACATGGTGCCACGCTTCATGTGTCTCCAGCTCCTGCGCTGGGTAAGTCTGAAGCTGGGTCTTGGCCGGTGAGGGGCGGCCGGGTATCTCTTGTGGATTCCCTTCTATTCCACGTCACTCTGTTTGCCAGAGACCATTGGAAATATTTCAGGAAGGCGCAAAACACGCCACGCGCCTATTCCGCCTATGTAATCTGGGCACCCAGAAATCTTTGGCTTCTTGGTATGTCCTTGGGTTTGAGAATGTTTGAAGGCAACGAAGGCTTGACTTTGGATGCAACCTGAAACATACGCGTTCAAAGGGTATTCTGATGGACCTAGAGCAGAACAGATGTCGTGTTGTGTCCATGCTGTGCTCAAAACAATGCCGAAGCACCTGCAAAATGGGCGTTTGATGGCAAGATTCCGTTCACTACGCCGTACCAAAATAGGGAGATCTGGCCATTTTGGAACGACGTCAATCCAATGCAAGTGGAGATGAGCATGGTCAGACTCCGGTAAGTGCTGCGTGCTGGAACCTTTCCCTTAAGTCTAGTGCGGGATGATTACCCTTAAATTGTGACGCCCAAATTGGGTCCTCGCGCACAGGCAATGTGAAATACATTCCAACCACCGAAAATCAACGGGGGTATGTTGGATTCCCTCGAGTACACAGTACTTAGGACTTTGAAATACAGGACAATACTTGGACATTTCAGAGCACCCATGAAAATTGCGCCGTGCTCAGGCAGATCTGGTTACGTGAAACGTCAAGCCACTGCTGGAGATGAGTATGGTCAGCCTCAGCCAACTGCTGCGTGCTTGAACCTTGCCCTTAAGTCTAGTGCGAGATGATTACCCTTAAATTGTGGCGCCCAAATTGGGTCCTCGCGCGCAGGCAATGTGAAATATATACATTCAAACCACCGAAAATCAACGGGGGTATGTTGGATTCCTTTGAGTACACAGTACTTAGGACTTCGACATGCAAGGCAATATTTGGACATTTTGAGAGAACAATCCCGTTAATTGCGCGGTGCTCACCGGCGTCGCTAACGGTGAGCGGCGGCAGGGTATCTCTCATGGATTCCCTTTTATTTCACATCACTCTTTGTGCCAGAGACCATTGGAAATATTTCAGGAAGGCGCAAAACAACGCCATGCGCCTATTCCGCCTATGTAATCCGGGTATCCAGAAATCTTTGGTTTCTTGGTATGTCCTTGGGTTTGGGAATGTTTTGAAGGCAACGAAGGCTTGACTCTGGGTGCAACCTGAAACATACTCGTTCAAGGATATTCCGGTGGACGTAGAGCAGAACACATGTCGTGTTGTGTCCATGCTGTACTTCAATGCAATGCCGCAGCATGCGAAAAAATGGCGTTTGAAGGCAAGATTCCATTCACCGCGCCGTACCCATTTGGATACGACGCTCTCCAGTGGCGCGAAATACGTCTGCAGTAGCCGAGTGACAAAAAGAAGCAGATATTCCGCTTATTATATATGTTATCTGGGTGTCCAGACATCTTCCATTTCTTGGTATGCTGTTGGGTTTGGGGATGTTTGAACGTAACGAAGGCTTGACGCTGGATGCAACCTGAAACATATCCGTTCAAAGGATATTCTAACGGACCTAGAGCAGAACACATGTCGTGTTGTGTCCATGCTGTGCTTCAATACAATGCCGAAGCACCTGCAAAATGGGCGTTTGAAGGCAAGATTCTGTTCACTACGCCGGACCACAATAGTGAGATCTGGCCATTTTGAAACAACGCTCTCCAGTGGCGCGAAATACGGACGCAGTAGCCCAGTGACGAAAAGGAGCACCTATTTGGGCGTCCAGAATCTTCGGTTTCTTGGTATGCCCTTGGTGGGAATGTTTGAATGTAACAAAGGCGTGACACTGGATGCAACCTGAAACATACCCTTTCAAAGGATATTCTATAACGGACCTACAGCAGAACACATTTCGTGTTGTGTCCATGCCGTGCTTCAATACAATGCCGAAGCACCTGCAAAATGAGCGTTTGAAGGCAAGATTCCGTTCACTACGCCGTACCAGAATAGGGAGATCTGGCCATGTTGAAACGACTTCAATCCAATGCAAATGGAGATGAGCATGGTCAGAGTCCCGTAGGTGCTGCGTGCTTGAACCCCGACCTGAAGTGCAAGATGATTACCTTTAAGTATGCCGGATGTAGTGAGGACCTGACCCTCCGAGACGAGCAGTTTGGGTCCTGCACCAGAAGAAGATGCACACATGCAAATTGAAATGCGTCCGAATCACAATAAATCGAGAGGGGGATGTTGGTCTATCTACACGAAGCTTCAGTGATACCTAGAACGTAAGACTTTGCTACTACATGTGTTTGAGCGCAAGATTCCCTCAGTTGCACTGTACTTAGCCCTACAAGAAAACAAGCAGGTGGAGAAATAATATACACATCCACGCATGTTTGGAATTCTTTGGCTACTCCAGTTCGACCAGCCGAAGTTATCTCCAAAGAAAGGGGATGATTCCAAATTCTTTTGAGCTGTGTAAGAAGTGAGAAGATCCCTTGGCCCATGCTTTTTAAACCTGACGTGACGGTGACGCCCAAATTGGGTTCTCGCGCGCAGGCAATGTGAAATGCACTCAAACCACCGAAAATCAACAGGGGTATGTTGGATTCCCTCGAGTACACAGTACTTAGGACTTGAAATGCAAGACAATACTTGGACATTTCAGAGCACCCTTGAAAATTGCGCCGTGCTCAAGCAGATCTGGTTGCGTGAAACGTCAAGCCACTGCTGGAGATGAGTATGGTCAGCTTTTTTTTTCAAAGCTGACGTGATTGTGACGCCCAAATTGGGTTCTTGCCGGCATGGACACATGCAATGTGAAATGCGTTCAAACCACCGAAAACCGAAAGGGGGACTTTGGTGAAGTACTTACCCTGATGGTTCTTTTTCCCGCCATAAGAAGTCGATCATGACGCTTTTTGGCGCGGGATGACTGTTTGGGCATGCTTCGCTGAGACCCCCGGTCTTAACTTGTCTTGCCGCGAATTTGGCATGCGAAGAGCGCTCGTCAACTTCTGCCAAACCGTCAGCAATCATCAAGACTGAGATAAGCAACGTCATGGAACCATCCAAACGCCGTCAAAATAGACTCATGTTTCAATTTCATTTCTTGCCAGTAACATCTTGTTAACTGCGAGCTGCTGACTTGTTTCAGATTACCAATCCAAACAGTGTCAAATTGTGAAAACATCACATGACAGACTTTATGTATCATGAAATGTTTCTACCAGCAAACTTTGTCTTCCGGGGTCGGAAGAGCCTGGAATGCCAAAGTGTCCCCTTTTTAAAGGCAACTTTTGGAAAGTGGCAGTTCTCCATGCCACTTTCAAGAGTCAATCCAAAAAAAGGCAACTGCGTTCAAAATGATGAACTTTGCTGAAATCACATGTGCAAAAGTGGCGGAAATATGCGTAGAAGTGGCGTAAATAACCGTAAAGTGGCGTAAAAAGACGTAAAGAACGGACGAAATAGGCAACTTTTCACTTCCAAAAAGTGGCGTTGAAAATGGTACACAGTGGCGTAGTTGCCTAAACAAATTAAGACACCTGGCTTTGCAGGAGTGAGTGGCGTTTTGTTCCCGAAAAGGGGTCGTGCCGATCGCAGCTCTGGTGGCCAAAAATCTCAAGGTCGTTCCTCTTTTGCTTGCTTCTCGAGCAGTTCTTCTCAATATGAGAGCGCTTTTGGACGTCACTTGTGGTCTTCGCTTTTCGCCAAGAAAACGAGCAAAAGATGCAAGAGAAAATGGTAAACAAAGTGTAGAAAGGGCGCAAATCTGCGCAAAAAAGGCCAAATGAGCGCACATTCCAAAATTGCACCACTTCGGTCTTCGAAAGTTTACCCCGGGCATTTTTGTTCGAAACGCACCGAAATATCATCAACGGGCTGCGCGAGCAGATTTGTTTCGGTGCAAAAGTAGTGCCAAAATGGATGGTCTAAGACAGACAGGAAAGCGGCAAAACTTTGATCCATAGATTTCCCATAGATGGGATTTATCAATGGGTTAATAATGGGTTAATGGGTTATTCACCCGTCAATGCGGTTGTGACAGGCAAACCATTGGCTTGGGAACCCGCCATTTTAGGTGCCCTTCACGTACCTGTCTCAGCCTCAGATTTTGAAAGTACGTTGGGGTTGTCCGTATTCTTGAGACACCACATTGAAAACCCTGGGGCATGCATCGCTTCGCAAGCGAGGCATTCTGGGGCGATGAGACGTCATGGAAGCAATGGCTAAGCATGGCCGTTTTTGGTACGTGAGACACTCCAGGGTGACAATTGGTTAAGGAGGTTGTCGCGGAAGCAGTTCCGCAGTTTAAACAAGCGCTGACAGGACAGGAGCGGTAACAGTTACCTTGCGAAAATTATGATTTTTTCGGCGCGCAAGACGGGCGCAGTGACATGGAGAAATCATATACAAATCCCCGCATGTTTGCAATTCTTTGGCTGCTGCAGTTCGACCAGCCCAAGTTATCTCCAGAGAAAGGGGATGATTCCAAATTCTCTTGAGCTGTGTAAGAAGTGAGAAGATCCCCTGGCCATGTCATGATTCACCCATCGGGGGTTTTCCACTTTCGCCTCCAGCACCTCGACGTGCACAGCGCCCCCGGGCCTATGGCAACACAGGTGCGAAGCATTGTGAAGACCCCCACCCATGGTAGTGTTAAGGCACCGCCCAGTGTCACGCTAACACCGTGCAAACTTTGCAAAATTCAACATACCGATGTGGGCTCCGCATGGCTCCGCCCCATCACGCCCAGTTCACTGGGGCCAGCACAGCATTTACGCCGCGGCTCCAGCCGCAAAACACGACGGGTTATCCCCGTGACCTTACCGGTCTACATCACAAGAAACACAGCCAGCCGGCTTTTCCACGCTTTGCGTGTGGTGCCCCCAACCCGCGAACGGTTGGTGCACTACCTTCTTCATGATTCACCCGTGAATGGGGATGGATCATACAGAGAGGAACAACTGATTCCGAAGCCCAAGACTGGTGGTTTCTGCAGGTCGTGGACCCTATAACATCATCAAAAACATGCGGTTGTGACAGGCAAACCATTGGCTTGGGAACCTGCCATTTTAGGTGCCCTTCACGTACCCGTCTCAGCCTCAGCAACTTTCTTTTTTCTTTGCTCTTTTTGGCACAAGGAGCCAATTTTGAAAGTACGTTGGGGTCGTCCGTATTCTTGAGACACCACATTGAAAACCCTGGGGCATGCATCATTCTGGGGCGATGAGAAGTCATGGAAGCAATGGCTAAGCATGGCCGTTTTTGGTACGTGAGACACTCCGGGGTGACAATTGGTTAAGGAGGTTGTCGCGGAAGCAGTTCCGCAGTTTGGCCAAGCGCTGGCAGGACAGGAGCGGTAACAGTTACCTTGCGAAGATGCTGAATTTTCCGGCGCGAGAGACGGGCGCAGTGACGCGGAGAAATAATTTATACAAATCCCCGCATGTTTGCAATTCTTTGGCTGCTGCAGTTCGACCAGCTCAAGTTATCTCCAGAGAAAGGGGATGATTCCAAATTCTCTTGAGCTGTGTAAGAAGTGAGAAGATCCCCTGCCCATGTCATGCTCTCTCGAAGCTGACGTGATTGTGACGCCTATGTCTTCCAGGCGCCAGTTCGTCTGCCGTGCTTCGCGTGTCCCGTCGGAGGTTTGAGTGTGAAGCGTGAAGTTCAGGATGGCGCTCTTTAGCTTTCGTCGAATGCTGTCAGAGGCTGAGACCTCATGCGGGGGTCTGTCGCAGATAGTGGAAGAATGTCGATGGGTCGCAACCCTCGCGCCCGAACATCAAAGTAAATGGTAAATGGATGCTCCTCCACCCAAATATGGAGTTTAAAGGTTTAAATGGTTTTAATCCATCTTGATTTGAAATTTTATTGATTTCATCTGGTGCTTCTAAGGCTTCACAATCCAGATGCACCATGTGAGTGATGTGGAGTTTCCAGCTGTGGCCTTCAGTTTGTCACACGTTTGTTTTTGCACACCTTGGTCGATCACCCAGGGCCGCTCTTTTGATGGAAGTGGGCTCATTCAACCCGCGATTTTTAGTCCGTGTTGATGCGACATCCAAACTTTGGACCCGCATGTCCCTTTAAACACAAGCGCTGTCAACTCTGAAGTTCTTCTGCGCTTGATCCAAAGTAGGTGGAGCACCGGACCGTCGCGGTGTTCATGCTGTTCCCGCCAAACGGATGGCATTTCAGTGTGGGGTCTTGCAAGGTTTTCAATGGATTTGGGCGCAAATGACACCTCCATTTGCCGGGGGCTTCCCCCAATCATGGTGATGGAGAGGAGGCTCCGCCGTCTGAGTTATCTAGTTGGTGACTTGCAGATATAAATCTGAAAACACCTTGTGTCACTTCGCAAGATGTGACACGTACATCGGATTGGAAACAGAGTGGCACGAGGGCTCGCTGCGTTTGATCTTTGATGGACCATGCAGACCATGCAGGAGTGTGAAGATTTCATTCAGTCCTTGAGAACCTAATCTTTTCTGACATGATGGCAAATTCGTGGCGCAGTTGCAGGAGGAGAAAAGGTGTGCGGAGGCTCCTCCACATTGAGGGAATTCACCAAGGATGCTCATATTTGGGACATTTCTCGTTGCCAAGATTCCAAGAATTTACCAGGTGAGTGGGACAAGTAGAAACGCAAGCAGGTACAAAGGCAGATAACGTTGGACAGAAAAACGGTAGCATAGGTCGATGCAACAGATTGGGTTGTGCCCCTTAGATAGACTCCAAGAAAGGAAGGGAAAACAGAAGAAAGAAAACAAATAAACAATAATCATAGTAACTTACCAACAATCATCCCATTCCCTCATTCCCTACCAAGGCCCGGGTTCAATCCCCCCTGGGCCGTGGCCGTGGTTTGAGAGCGGGTACAGGCATCATGCTATGGTTCTGTTCCACCTTCATCCCCATCTGCATCTTCGGCTTCATCTTCAATTTCATCACCATCACCATCATCTTCTTCACCATGATCATCACACTCAATAGAATAGAACAGAAAAGAGCAGAACAGACAAGAAAATAAAAGAACATGACAAAACAGACAAGAACAGAAAAGAAAAGATCGATAGAAGAGATCCAGTAGATAGAATAGATGGAATAGATAGAATAGATAGAACAGTTAGAATAGATAGAGAATAGCTAGCATAGGATAGCATGGGATAGCATAGGATAGCATAGGACAGCCTAGGATAGCATATGATAGCATATAATATCATAGATAAATGGATAAATAGTTTGTAAACTAGATAGATAGAATACACTAGAATAGAACAGAAAAGAGTAGAATGGAATACGATACCACAAAATCGAATAGAAGAGAATCTAACAAAACAGAACAGAATGGACAAGAATAGAATAGGCAAAAAATAAGATAGAGTAGCAGTAGAATAGAATAGAGTAGAACAGAATATAACTGGAATAGGAACAGCAATAGGAGTAGGACTAGGAATAACATTGATAAATAGACCGACAGACAGACAGTCAGGCATACAGACTGTCGGACAGACAGCCAGACAGACAGATAGACAGGTAGACAGATAGATTGGACGAGGTAGGGCAGATTCGACTGATAGATATTTAAATCATAGATGAACACACAGATCAATACATGGATTGTGTTCTGTACCATAGAGAACGAACAGCGGAAAACATAAGCAATTTTCAGCTCTCAGCACGGACCAGTAGCTGTGTTGCACGGTTTGGGCGAAGTGTGTACATATCCTCAAACCATTTTCCAGTTCGAGAGGGGTGTTTACCATGGACAGTGACCCCAACAAACTTCAAATTGTAACCACTAGCAGTGCAGACGAACAACCATGATTAGAATTTTCGGGGATTATGGTGGGTACAGGGTTTCAACACCAAGCGCATGCAAACATTGAGGATTCATCCTTTTCTTTTGACACATTCATGTTGCGGAGAATCTGAGGAATCCCACACTAAACGCTTTTCCTGCTCCCTATGTTGCTGGAATGAGCAAAACCATGTAGCCATGGGCGGGTTGCTGATGGACCCTGGAGGTTCGCTTTGACCCACATTTTGGTCCAGCGATTGGAACTACCGCCGTCGCTCACAGCAGTTACAGCAGCGTGAACGATGGCTGTGAGATGTATCTCGTTTCGGTAGAGGCAAACCAAAGTCACAGCTGTCCATGAGCAATTTGCGACCTGACTTCTTTGAGTGGAGTGGCAAACCATTTTGTGAATGTGTGACTCTGCCACACCTTGAACCCCAAAGCTGGTAGATCTGACTTGAAACAACCGATCTGCACCTTTGTGCAGCATGCACCATGCCCGCGAACTGCGGACTGCGTGAAAGTTCCTTGAAATCTCGTGTCAAAAGATCGTTGGCGTTATCTAGGCCCAAACCCCAAGAGTTGTGAAATGAGCGACGCGCCTCGTGTCGGGTTCTGAGCAGATGCCCGGAGCGGTTGACCATGCCCGTTGGTTGAAAGCTGACTGATCTTGATGGTTGAAAATGTGGCAACAAAAAACGCCCAAATCTGTTGTTTTCAAGGGGTCTTGACCTTTCCCCGTTTGAGAACTAATTTTTGCTTCCTGGCCCCTCAGTTAGGATGATCGAATCTGTGCAGGTTCAGCATGCAAGTCCAGGATTGGCAAAATGCATGAAAGTTCCTGCCTGAGAAATTTCAAAACATTCTTGGCATCTCTTGGGGTCAAGAGGTTTTCGAAGCTGAAACGCGTGAAAGCCCAGACTCATAAGTTATGAAATGCCTGAGTGCTGCTGGTTTCTCGCTGCTGAGCAGACGCCCAGTACGCTTGAGCGAAATGTCCATGAGGAAATCAGATCTTGGAAATGTATAAAATCAAAGTGCCCCAGTGATCCCAGTGCACAGTGGCTATTGAAAGACCAGGCCAGTTGATCAAGTTTCGTTTTTTGGCTCGACGAAGATGTGGCCATTGGAGAGCTGTTTTGGCTCGCAGACGACGTTCGGACTGCATCAGAAGCTGCCTTTCGCCTCTTTCTTCGATGTTGGCTTCAAGTGAGACAGCCAAATCCTGGAGGACCATTTGGTCTCGAAAGTGGGGGCCGGAGGCCGTTTGGCCATTTGGCCTCGAAAAACGGGTTTGGCCGTGGAAATGCTGAAACCTTGATTTTAGCATGACAAGTGCCACAGTGCCAGCGTGAAAACGTGAAAAGCACCACAGTGCCAGCGTGAATACGTGAAAAGCACCACAGTGCCAGCGTGAAAAGCTAGGGCAGCTAGGGTATCCTGTATGGGTCAAACAATGCAATGCTGCTAACTTTGCACCAATGTCCACACATCAGTGCACACAAGCAGCATGGGTTTTCCAGCCTTGAGCCGTATTTTGCTTGGCAGGCGCAATTCTTTTGACATATATATAGTACACCTAAGGGGGTCTATCCGATATAACCAAGTAAGCCATGAGTACAACATATATAGTACATTTAAGGGTGGTTCTGAAATCTAATATTTTTTTACTGCGTGCACAAGTATAATCCCATCAAAGAATTTGGGTCGCTTGAGAAACCAAACAAACACCATGTCTTCGGAAATTCAGGCACAGGCGTGTATATACCTTTGTGCACGGTGCATTTAACAAGTTACATGCACAGGATTTTTTGAAAACCGCTATGAAACATATAATATGTATCTATTTGTATATATATATAATAGTAAAATCTGGATCTGCATTGTCGAATCCACTCGGCGTTTTTTTTCCTTGTTGGTGGGCCACACACATCGCCGCTCACGCCGCTTGAGTGGAAGGTTGCAACTCTTGAATGGTGTTTTTTTTGGGTGTGCCAGGCAAACATGAGGAGCACTGCATGCGCACCATCTGTGGTGCCAGTTAATGACCACCATGCGTTCCCTGTTTGTTTCTAGGAACCACCATACGTAAGAGATGCCGATCCAATCTTAGCCACTACACAGACTTCAGCTTCCAATGGTCCAGGTTTCAATTTCAACTTTTCGTGCTGTTGCGCGTTGCGCAAGCCATGGTTTGGCGGTGAGTGAGCATGTTGAAGGCCCAGTCACCAAACTGTGGGTTACCTTTCGACTTTTCCATAAAAAAAAAACAGAGAAATTCAACAGTGCCAGTCCAACTTGTGATTCTTGAAACCACGGATGTATGGAAAATGGACGCCCCGCTGCGCCATGTGAAACCGCAGGTGGCAAAATTGGCCCTGGTGTCTGTCATCTTGTGGAATATGGTCCGCTTGGCTTGTTTGACCCAAGAATGTGATTTTCTCCATTTTGTGAGCGCAATGATGTTTGATACTGTTGATGGAAGAAATCATGTATGGACTAAAGTTAACCAATTAAATCCATATATATATATATATGTTAGTGTTTGAACATATATATATATGTTTATATATATATATAGGGTAATACATATACATATATATATATATACATATATATGATGGGGAAAACCGTTAAACAAATGGATAAATCATATAAACTAGTGCATAATTTCTTCCATCAACAACATGCAAAACCCATGAAAACTGATTTGATTGGAAAGAAACTTTCCCCACACCAATTGAAAATTGGATGGTTAATTCAGTACATCCAAGTTCCTCGCTTTTGCCAGGTCCAATTTCCCTACGTCAGAGGTGCATCCCGCCGACCTGAATGGATCTGCGAGTGTTGAGCTGGTGATTTGTTCACGAGCCATGAGTGCAATCAACCGAACACTAATGCAGGCATTTGGGGTTCAGTATGGTAGGTGGGCGACCGCCGCTTGATTTTGTAAAGGGATATGGCCGATGGTGATGATGAGAAACCGGTTTTGGTGTCACGGCGGGATGTCCGCAAGTTCATTGACTCTTTTCGTGCTGAGCCACGATTCAAAGAAGTGCCTATCAATTTGTTGAACAATTTTTTCAGCAAACCCAAAAAAATAATGTCTGTTTTATTGAGGTTTGGAGAGGTAGGATTAACTAGTGCCAGTGGCTCCGATAATGCTAAAAGTCATGCATGCCCAGGTTGGGATGACGGTCCTTGTAGACCACAGTGGACGATTGTTCACCAAGCGAAAGTGCACAATAAAGGACATCATCTCGAACAAAGAGGTGGGTTCCATCTGTACTCGTGGGATCTTTAGCCCCTCAAATCTTTAGCCCCTCAAAATCTGTGCTTCCAGGTACCCTGGTGAGTTTAGATTTTGAACATACCATCCATTTTTGAGAAATGTATATACATATATTTGTATATATATATATACCCTACCTTTCTTGGAAAAAAATATATACATATATTTCGGTCTACAGATATATACATATCTGTCTCTAAATATGCCTCATATACAAGTGTGCATGGGGAGTTTATAGGTGCATTTATCAATGGTACAAACACTACTTAAAAGAATAAGCATATCATATATACATATATATGGATATATATGGTCTCATATCCAAGAGATGTTGGGGATGATGGTTCGCGGAACTACCTTGGAGGTGGTCTTATCAGTTGTGAAAGCAATGGAAGGGCATTCCAGGGTGTCTGCCTATGTCATCCAAGATGCCCTCCTGTCCTTTTACACGGAAGCGAAGCTGTACCCTTCGGGAGTTTACCGGGAAATCCCAGCAGTTCAAGATTGGGCGCTCAAGTATGGGGTGGCCATCCGAAAACTTGTTTCTCCCCAAATTATGGTTTCATGTGCGACAATTTTATACATGATTTACCTTTCCCAGACAAAGCCATTAAGAAACAATCAAAATGACAATTTTGTTTTGGACATGTCATCCTAGGTTTCGAGACTTCGCCGGTTGATGGTACGTTCAAGCACATCAAAGCACCGAAAGCTTACTGAGATCAAACGGATTGCTCGGGACTATGGTTGGGGCAAGGTCAAATCCAATCTTGACACAGAGGTTTCCGATTCCGATTCATGGTGATGGATAGTAGAATTATAATATTGTTGTTTTTAAACATACTGACCCATCAATCGTCGATAAATGGTTTGTACAATAAGTGACATTTCTTGGTTGAAAGTTTAAGCTGAAGACTAGGGATCACCAATTTAATTTTGGTTGAACCATGTTCCCATGCAATGCCCAGGAGAGTTCGGATCCCGAAGCCCCTGAGCTGGGTGATCCCGACGGTCTTGAAGAGTTGGACGATAATTCATCGACGACCACTCCACCTGGCTCGTCAGTGTCTTTGGCATCGGGCTCATCAGCTGATACCAAGCTTGAAAGGGTCATTGAACAGCTTAGGGAAGTCAAGCTTCGCTGGGAAACCACAACCCCAGTGATGGCACCATGCCAAAAAAACAGTGGTGATTGTGTGGATTTGGTGTCTTCTGATGAGGAAAGACCTACTGTTGGGGATCCACCAGTACCATTGGTTGAGGGCAAGAAACCAGCCCCGGTACCATCAGTTGACCACAAAGAAACAGCAGCACAGGGTCTTGCCAACTACTTGCGACAACAGAAAATGAAAAAGCTGGCTGAGAAGCTTGCTTTGAACGATGGTGAACCAAGTAGTGTGACCAAAAAGGAGATGCCCAGTGAGAAGAACCCGTATGTGTTGCCGGCTCACGTCCCTGGGTTTTGCCAAATGAATTTTGATTGGGGATAGTTATGTTCATGTTTAGGGACATAAGTTTCACTACTATGTCAATGTTTCTATCCTTGAAAAATCGTTTCTAAGGTTGTGGATACCATGAAGCAGCTGTCTACACCACCAACTGCTTTCTCTTTGAGATCCCAATATGTCCGTGAAGTTAGTAATGCCCGGGCTGCAGCTGGTGCCGAGCCTGCTTCTGATGGAGATGATCCCGATGGTGTGTCCAGTGCACCTGCCAGGCGGAAACGTCCCAAACCACCAAAGCGGAAACATGCAGACAAGAAAGTAAAAGTGGCCAAGACAAAGGCTAAAGATGGAAATGAAAACCCATGGAGATACAATGAAACCCGAATGGCTTTCATCACTAATGTGAGGATGCGAGAGGGTTTCAACTTTGATGAGGCAAAGAAAGCATGGGATGAGTCAGATGAAAAATACAATTTTTTGGGGTCCGTTTCAGTCTCAGAATTGAAACGTCGCAAGTTCATTGCGAAGGGTGTTTCAGAAAACCCATGGGCAAAATGTCCAGCTGATAGCTGAACATAATTGCTGTTTTGGGATTTCGATCATGTCTCAAGGACCACGGGCTAGGGGAGTGGCCGGTGCAAATCGCTACCACGGAGGAAAAATACATATCGCTTGTGCGTGTCCATATTTTGGTTGTGCATGCATGCACCCTTTCGATGTTGTCGTTAGCAGGGGTCCAGCATGTTTTTGTGTCGATCCTCATGTGTGGCATGCATATCGGAAACCATTGGTAGGTTTTCTCAAGTGTGGCTGAAAGTTTTCCCAATCGGTCACAATGGTAGTGTTAGAGCTACTTCGTTGGCGTGCGCCGCCTATCTTCATCCTGATTGTCCTTCTGACCCGGTGGAACTTTCAAATCCCACATACAGTTGAGACTTGTCCACCAGATTAAGGTTATGGGTTTCTGGTCTATAGTAAGGTGATGGAATATGGAAACATGAATGTTTGCATTTTGGTTCCATGTTTCTTCAACAAAATGGTGAACCCAAATTTATGCCCAAAATGTTGCCATTCCAAATCATTCCAAATCACTGGAACCACTGGGTGCCATCGATGTTGTTGGTGTTGATCATTCAAATTCAAGGGTCTGTATATTTAGGTATAAATCAACACACAGCCTTTAGCCTAGTATATTCATGATCCGTACCATCTACTACATATAGTTGCATATGTTTGCAACCCATGAAGATGTGATTTTTGATATCTGGCTTTTACCAATTGACGACCAATGCCTGGACCATGCATGTATCCAAGGACCGGGAATTCGTGGAGGTATTCTCAGGCCGTGGTGAAGTCAGCCGTGGATTCAGGGACGTTACTAGCCCACAAATTCAGGGTCTGACCTGATGGGTTTTGAACATGGAACACATGATGTTTTTATAGACTGTCCGATTTTTGTTTACACCCTGCTTTCCACATCTGACCCAATCCTGGCCTCGTGGAGTTGGTCAAATCGATAGCTCTCAGGTTGGCCTAGTTGGCACATCGATCGACTTGGAGCTGGACGACCGCTGCTTCGATCTCACAAAACCAGCTGCATTCTCGTTTCTTATCTGGAAATGAAAGCACGATACCCACATATTGGCACAATTAAATAAATACAGAACATGGTCATTGATGTAGTTACAAAATGTTATAAATATGTTTTTATATATTTATACACCTGTTTCTCTATCTATTGGTTGGTAGTAGATACACATCATAACAGTGGTTTCGTTGTGCATGGGCTCTGCTATGGCCATGCAATCAAATCAAAAGAGACTATATGGGTCTGGTACCACAAACTCTCGAAAGACTCCAAACAACAAAGAGGTCAGAAAAATTGAGGGAAACCTGACTCCCAGGATTTTTTCAAAAATCCTGGGAGTCAGGTTTGGGGATTTTTTTTACAAAATGCCCTTTTACTAGGAGAATAGGTTAGTTGTTTCGCAGCTCCAACTGCCACCCAGGTTGGTTATCAACGAGATCACCCGCTGCAAACCAGGTTCCCCAGTGGTTCTGGCACCGGACTGCCGATCGTTATCTGTAATGTTACTTGGCCCAACCCATATATGTCCCACTGGTGTCATGTACCTCCGAACTTACCATATGGGTTTGGAGTTTACCTGAAGAAACATATGGCTCTTCTGGTGGTTTGTGCTGATCAAAATCCATAAGGTTCATATTTCCAACTGTATTGCCGGGGAAGTCCGTAAATATATACTAATTGGTGACCAAAATGCGATGAGGACAGCAACATGTATTCATATATGTATATATATATAGATATATGTATATAATCCTCAAGTATGAAATAAGCAATAAATATGCCTACATAAATATACGCTGAAACAAATACATGTATATACAAATATTTATATATATATAGACACATATATTTATAGGCATATACATACAAACATATGTATATATATATAAATATTGTGTGAATAGAAAACCCCTTTCAAATATGTCATGTACATACCCTATCTGAGGTCTCGGGACTCACCGCATCTGAGGTCTCGCCATACGAGTGGTCGAACTGCCTTGCATCCGTACGGACATCGTGGCTACTCGTTCGTTCGGGTTGGCAACGTGCTATCGAGTCGGGTGGCATTGATGTGCCTCCTAGCATCAATGTGTGGTTTGCGTTGGATCTTGGAACAGCCAGATGCAAGTTTCCTACCGAACTTACCGCGATATCAATGGCTTTGGGGTGTTCTGAAAGCCATATTTGGACAACCAAAATGTGGTTTTCATTTCAACCAGTGTCTATATATAATGTTTTGCAACGATGCTGTCATTTAAGCTAAGGTACAATAATGGTGAAATCCTGGACCAATATATTTAGGAAAAAATGGTTTAGACGTTTTTTGATGGTATCACAATGCATGATTTGTGCAAGTATGTTTTGACAACCATGGTAGGCCTATTCTGGCTCGATGTACATGGGCATCTTTGGTTCAGGGAGCCCTAAAAGGCACAGACTCTTCTCCAATGATGAGGGTTGGATCCAAGAGTTGATCAACAAAGCTGGCTACATGTCACGTGAAGATCAGCAAAAGTGCGAAACCAAAACATCTCGTCAGTACATAGATAGCAGTGGAAAGAAGAGATGCGTTGGTGTGAAGTCAGCTCTGAAAGAATCAGCGCATCCTAGCAGAACTAATTTGGATTTCAGTGGGCTCACCCAATCACCCAACTTTATTTTTATGATGTCTTAATCCAAACATGGCACTCTATGGCCCCTATTCGAGAGATATCCCAGGCACTATCCTCCCGCATTTGGAGATTTCATGGCCGACGTTGCCACACGACGGAAATCGGTGGCATGGCTGAACCTCCACAAATAGATATACATACATTTATAATTATATATACAAACACAATAGTTACAATATATAAATATATATATATATACACATTATAGTATACACACATATGTATATATATATATTAGGTTTGTATCTTGGAAAAGGTGAACCATGTCCAAAAATTCAATCACCCTTTGATCTCACAAATCCATCTCTGTATTCATATTCAAATAACCCCAACATTTGGTGTCATCTCAGGAGCCACTCCCGGAAGCGCCGCCTTTGAGAGATGATCTGCCGGTGGACATGACCGACCTCGAATTGTTCAAGCGTTTCTGCATGCCGTTGGGTGATCTCTGGGAGGATGCTTCTTGGCCCCAAGGTGTCGGTGGATCCCAATATCATGTGCCATCCATCATTGAATGTAAAGTGGCAATTGAACTTGGGCTTGCTTTTTACATGGATTATCCCAATCATTGTTTTTGGGTCGTAAACTTTGGATGTGCATCATAAACCCTGGATTAAGAACCATACAAATGAGTCAGGTGAGATGATCCTATCCTTCAACCAGGTCATTTGCCACTGACATTGACAGAACCACAGATGCACATACACACTCACATGCAAATATGTTTATTATTTGTATTTATGCACTTACATACACACACACATACATACATGCATGCATGCATGCATACATACATACATATGAACATATAGATACATGCATGCATGCATGCATGCATACATAAATACAAACACATCCAAACATACAAACATACAAACATACATACATATACATACATATACATACATACATTCCATACATTAGTATGCATACATGTGTACATGTATGAAAATATGTGCATATATATGTATATATTCTGCATATGTGCACACACACATACATATGTTTCAGACATATGTGATATTGTATTCACAGGTTACATATACACATTCGCACATATTTGTATGTGTACATCAAATGTGTATACACATAGACATGATATGTGCATTTACTAGATACAGATTTGGATGTGCATATACATATGTACCAACTCCATGTTCCATACAATATCAATGTTCTCATCCCGACTCAGGCTGACCTCTGGCCTGTTGCATCTTACTTGGCCAAATCCAAGCATATGCACATACCCGAAGGATGGGAACCTTGTCTGGTTTACATCATTGGTGGTTTTTACCTGGTAAACCTTTCCCCTGCAAATGATTTGTTGTTTCCACCCATGATAAACATTACTGGTGTTTGGCTACCCATATTCATCATCAACCATCAATTTTTGATTTCCATTCCTGATGCCATCAAGGAAGATATCTTGAAAGAACTGAAGCTGCGCTAGCTTTATTTCACCGATCCATGCAATACTGCATGGTCTTTTATTCTTGCGATGATTTGCAGGGATTTGGGACCTGGACATCATGCAAGTCAGCCTTGGGCGTTTCGTGTTCAAAAGGGATTCCGTGTGTTCTCTGTCTTTTCGCAGGTTTCATGGTTTTCACGCACGAATGCGAAATGTAAATATTCACAAAAAAACACGAAAATGTGATCCGTGAAAACGTGTGCTATTGGACATGGAAAAACGCCGAATGGCCATGGAAACAGCGTGAAAAACGTGAAAATAAAAAATGACCTTTCCGGCCCACGAAAACCACGAAAATCACGAAAACCACGAAATTCACAGAGGTTGCACGAAAACCACGAAAATCAATAGACCATTGGGCAATGCTATGCATATATGTGGATTTAAAGCTAATCCAAAATATACATCACTACCTGTCTACATATGTGTATGTAAGATCTTTTGTACATCGAATCTGTAGCCATTTTGATCCGAACTTCGGAGGTTTTTGCTCCTCCCCCCCCTTTTTTCGCGAAATGGCGAAGACTAAGGCTACAGTGAGGGAGTTAAAGGCTAGACTTGAGACTGCTGAGCCTAAGGCCATCCCATGCCCAAAGGTTCGAGTGAATGGCAAAAAAACGGACCCGAGCAAAGCAGCACCTCCCACCAAACCAGCATCCTGCCCTGCAACGAAGACAGACACGACCAAGAGTGAGTTGCCAACGAAGACAAGCACGACCAAGACTGGGTTGCCTCCTTTTGAAATTACTTGGGATAACCTGCCCAAAGTAATGAAATGGTTCAATATGAGTGAGGGTGATGCAGTTTCGGTGTTACTCCAAGTTGTTGGCCCGGATCCCCGTGGGGATGACTTTTGGACTACCTACAAGAAGCGAGTGAAAGTTGAAAAATCTGAAAGTGTGGCTGCGGAGAAACCCCGTGAGGTTCCTGAAGCACCTGAGGTCCCTGAGGCACCTGAGGTCCCTGCACCAAAGCGTCGTCGATTGAAGCCTGCCTTGCCTGCCCCTCCAGTTGACAACCAGTTGGGGGACCCTGACCTCTACCCGTCCGATGATGATGGTGAACGAACCTTGCCGATGCTTGAACCTGAGCTGGATCCCACCGAGAACCAGGAGGTTGACGACACACAACTTGATGGTGAACCCTTGGAGGAAGGAGAAGAGGAATACCCTGAGGATGACATTGAGATGGAAGTTGCTCCGAACAATGGTGGTGACGACCAAGACTCCCCGAACAGTGGTGCAGCCTCTATCCCTCCTGAGGAACCTGAACGTGTTTGTGAAGCTCCGGAGCCAGTGGAACCGGTGATTGCTCCAGTCGTCGCGGACCAGGATGCCAAGGACGCCAAAGACAACTTGGATCAAGCAATTCGATCTACCCCAACACCAACTCGTTCCGGAGGACGGGTTGTTCAGCACGGTGTTCGCCGGGTTGAATCTGCTGCCCCTGCTTCGACTACACCTGTTTCGACCTTGAAGTCTTTGAAGTTCCCTGCTGTGATTAGGTTTTGTTTGTGTTTATTTCAATATTTTCTTTGGTTCCAAGTTCCAAGCTTTGTTTTCTTTTCAAAGTGTTATGTCTTGCTGTTTCAGTGCGATGCCGTGTCTAAGGTCGTGTACAACTTTGGTTCTTGGTCAGCAGCAGCTCTCGAAGCAAGCGTCCCAGGTGCACATGGATGACAAGGATGTTGATGGGGACACTGAGTTTCTTGATTACAACTTAACTATACATACACACCTATTCCAATTATCCCCCAATGCAGAAATACATGCTGCCCTTGAACCTTTATTTGAACCCTCTTTGAGCCTGGCCTGTAGTGGGAAAAATATGAACCATGCTTTGAACCTTTGAGGCTTTCTTAAACCTTCCCTTATATTTTTGTTTGAACACTGCCACTCCCATCGCCCATGCGTGAGGTTGGGTCCCTCGGCTTCTCAGCTGGTCAAGGACGATGGCGTGTTGGTGGACATTGTCAAATCTTTGTCTCATCTTCAAGCGGCAATGGACGACCCCAAGACCCGGGCTGTGTTGCAGGCATTAGCCCCAAACTTGTTTGCAGTGTCTCCAGACATGGATGCTGCTCAACGTGGTTTGCCGTCGTCGTCAAAGCCGGCTGGATCTTGCAGAAGTGGTACTACAAGCCCAGCGCCCTCCCTGCCGGAACCTGCTCCCGTTGCCCCAGCATCCACACATGTTCAGTCTGTGGTGGACAAGATCAAGGCTGACAGAACCAGAGCCGCGAAGGCCAACAAGACTTCACCTGGACCTGGTGACAACACCGACAAGACCGACGAGATCGACAAGCATGGCAAGCCCGACAAGATCGACAAGACTGGCAAGGTCGACAACAAGACTGGCAAGACCGTCCCCAGCCCTGACCCTTCTGACCCTTCTGACCCGGCTAGGTCTGACAAGGCAGATCCTGGTGAGCCTGAAATCAATAGCTCCACACACAGAGCTGCACATGCTCGATTAGCTCGACGCATGGAACGGGTGGACCCAGCCAGCTTCCCCCATATGAGTCGCCTATGGTCTGGCAACAGAAAGGACAGCAGTTTTGAATTTGATTACATGTGTTTTATTTTTGAATTTGGCACTGACCATGCACTGGTATACCCAACACAGACCTGGATAAACTGTTTAGATATGTTCGGTCAATAGTTAGTGAACCATGATTTATTCATATATTCACATGAAGACATGTGTATATATAGATATATATGGAAACCTTTTTTAAATCGATTTCCCCAGGACAAGCAAGAGCTACTTCGGCAGTTCGTGATGAATGAGGAGAACCTTGACAAAGTGGAGACCCACCTGACCGTTTCCAGGGAGCAAGAGGGTGAGGTGGAGCACAAGAAAGAACTGCTTACAATTGCCGAAATGAAGCGCCGCAACTTCTCAGAGTAACCAGTATCAATTTCAGCAAGTTTGTTGGCTTTTGGCCAAAGGTTGAATTTGGGGGGTGAGGGTTTACTTGGGGTTGATCAAGTTTTGTTTTTCTTTTAGCACCTGTAGCCTGTTTACATTCCAAAACGGAGACCAAGGACCAAAATCCAGAGCATTATTGCTCGCAACACACCTGTGCCTGACCCCGATGCGCCGGAGGATGCAGAATCTGTGCGCTTCTGGTGCACAGCCGGTGGCCAGTACTCAGAACGAGAGCGGACGCGAATCACTGCCCAGGCAAGTGCAGCTGTAGCTACCACACGAGAAGGTCTGACCTCTCTCCATATGGCTGATGCTCCTGTTTCTTGCTCTATGGCTCCGGATTCTGGTGCTGTTGCGAACCGCCCCACTCTCAAGGCGTTGGTCGACGTGGCAAATCAAACTACTAGCCCTGAGAGTGCCCCTGTGGCCAAAGCTAAGGCAAAGGCAAAAGCAAAGGCAAAGGCAGCTTTGCAAGCCCCGAAAACGCCTGCTGAGAGACGTGTTCAAATTCGTTTCTCTTATATGCTTCATACTTTCTACCGTTCTTGTTTCGTCAAATTATTTCTTCAAATTTTACCTTTTTGATGTGTTTTTCCTCCTTTGCTTTTGGACCCATTCAATCAGTTACAAAGGCAACCAGCTCAAGAGCGAAATGGCCAAGTGCTCGGTGGGAACCGATCTCCCACAAGGGCATGATTTGCGAGTTCAGCTGGATAAGTTGAAAGGATCTTTGGAAAAGCTGTTGGATGAGTTACTTGGATCCGAGTTTTAAACCAAAATTGGATGGGTATTTCCTGGCACAAAAGTTTTTGGATGAATGTGTCCCCTGACCTTGTTTAATGTAATCCAAGGCTGAAAGATCTGCCTGACGATGACTTGGATCAGTTCGCCGATGAATGCGCTGATCAGGTCAGCTGTCGACCAAAACTCTCTCAAATGAAATCACATCATTAAACTGTGAACCAATATTTGCTGATACAAAAACACAATGGCAACCCTTTTTCCCAGTGGGAACCCAACTACAATAACATACTTGATTTCCCTTGCCCCTGGTCAGGTGAAGACTGTTCGACTTCTGCGGGCCCAGGCATCCGCAATTGTCAAGGAGCTCCGAAAGGACGAGGACAAAGCCTCCGCTGGCAAATAATCTGTGGGTCAAGGATTGAGTCCTGATCCAGGTATATATGGGTCTAGTTTTGAGTGACCATGGCATGGTGCTGCATAGAGGATTAAACTCCCCATGTTGGAAATGTTCGACAAACAAAGCTTTAGATCTTCACTAAATTCCCATCAACTTGAATCATCTTTTGGGGGTCCTGGCAGTCCATGGAAGTACGGTTGGGTTTTCCATGTAGGGTGGATTTAATGTCCATGAAATTTCCAGAGCCACTGTGAGCAGTGGTTATCGCGTCTGAAACCTATCGATGTGAATCAGCGAACGGTGGAAAAAAGTGAAATTAACTTTGGAATATGTTTTCGAACAACATTGTGGTGCTTGAACAATTCACAATGGAGCCTGCGCAACCATCATAGACATGTCATTGATTTCCATCCAACCCCACGCAGGTTCCTTTAAGCGGAAAGCTCACCACCTTCTTTGTGAACGGCTTGATGCAGCGTTTCTAAGCATTGATTGGGGAGATATATTATATATAGGGTTTATTTTTATATATGTATATGCATATCTATGTATGCTACTTTAGAAAGATTTTATTTCTACATTTATCTACATACCCATGGCAAGAAATGACAATTAGATATAGGGAATCCCAAAATATAAATACATAGGTTAGCTGGTCCCGTTCACACCGAGTGAGGCTTGCGCATTCAATTGGTGCTGGCCATTGCACCGTCAAACATTCGAGATTTGTGGGTGAAGTCTACGACTCTGAGCTGATTTCGCTCCTAGCCTGCACCCCAAAACTGTTCTATATGGTCCAGCCATCCAACATGATCAGGGTCGGCTGGCCTTGATTGATGTAAGGTCTGGTAGAGAACACGGCCTCCATGAACGTGCGGCACGTTTGGGTGCATCTTTGCCATGCCCTATACAGTGGATTACCATCCCCATGAAGGAATCCCCGGACTCGGAATCTTTTGCGTTCGTGAGATGGCCAATGCTACTTCCTGAGGATTTTGATTTTTGGCACAAGTTCAGAAACCATGTTTCCCACAATGTTTTCTAGGATGGTTCAAATCCCGTACATACCAATATATATATAAAGATATAGGTAAAGATGGATATTTGTAATATATATACTATGTATGTATATATATATAATATGTTTCTTTGTACTATATTTGATATCAAATATAAAATAAAGAATAAACAATCCATAATGTATATAATATACAGTTTAATATTCAAATTTGATATTTGATGTATGATACATCATATACAATAAATAAATATATATATATATTTGTTTATGTGTGTGGATGTATATGTATATGTACAGGGATTTTACAGATTTTTTGGGGCTCCTCTGAACTATGCCTCTAAGGCGAAAACTTTGGTTTCTGAAGGTTACCTTTCTGCGCTGGTTGGTAACCTTGATGAGCTGCCGCAATACTGGCAGGGAATGCTCCAGGACTTCCCGGACCATGTTGTGAAAGATTCGGATGTCAACTTACGTGCAAGCATTGGCTGCACACTCTATGGAGCCATGTCCCAAGGTGAGATCATTTTTCAATTTTATATCACCAAAAAAACATGACCCCTCCAAAACAAGGAAACCAAACTTGTTATATTTGATAGTGCCATACTCAATCCCAAAAAGGAGATGAAGTGGATTGCTTGGGGGATTCGTGGATGTTCCTTCTTTGGACATCGGATAACTCGACATGCAGAACACATAGTCCAAGCTCACGATTTCCGATGGCTATATTTCCATCATCTCTTTATGCCATTGACCCAGAAACTGGGGTGAACCTCACATTGGAAAGTGCGACCGCTGCCATCACCCGCAGCTTCAATGCCTTGTCCACGGATGGCATTGCAATCCATGACCTCAAGTCCGTGGGCGGTGGCATGGCCCCTTTGGCCGCACCATTCCTTCATAACATTTTACAGTGAATGTATGGAAATGGGCTCCCATTTGATGTTATAAAATCATCATTCGTCCATTTGATGTTATAAAATCATCATTCGTCCATATTATTCCTTGTGCCCAAAACATATTTGATGATATTTTCAAAAAAACCAAGGTTGGACGTCTTAAGATGTATGTCATGGGATTTCGTGGCGACTGGAAGGCCCTAGTCGCGATTTTCAACCTGGTCCGGAACTACAACACAAACAAGGCCCCATACTTTCAATTGATCATGTGGGACAATGTTGATGGTTTCAACAACATATATTTCATAATATATAATATTTCAAGTCATGGGTTCGCATCTTTATATTGGCCCCTGAAGGTGTGTTGGCTGTGTCATGCAACCAAAGGGATGGAAAACGACGTGCACATGAGCATCACAAATGTCTCTGATACTGCCTTGTGGTGGCAGACGCTATGTCAGTCAGACCCATGGCAAATCCAGCCAAACTATACGAGACTTATCGGTTTCAAGATTTCAATGATCGTTCCTGACTTACTCCATTGCTGGAACCTTGGAATACTACGTCATATGTTGGGATCGTCCTTGAGAATCATCTTGGCCGAACGGTTTGTGTTTGACGCACCCACCGTGCCTGAGCGATTTGCGATGGCAACAGAGAGCTTGATGGCCTTTGCACGTCAGCACCGCTACCCTTTGAGATTTAAAAAGCTGACCCAAAGGAAAGTGGGTTGGAAAGCAAATCGCTACCCGGAGCTGGCTTGCAGTGGCTATGATTCGTTTGTTGTGGCATCATGGTTGGAAAAGTTATTGGAACCAATCAACATGTACAAAGAAATCAAAACTCTACTGTGGAGTGGGAACAGAGCCGTAGGCTTAATGTACTCGGCTGGTCGGTTCTTGACACCCGTCGAGAAACAGTCTTTAAAAATGTATGGGGACATTTTTCTTCAAACGTATGTCCAGGAAGCAGGGAAAGCAATCAGTGCACACAAGTTGCTTTTCAGGGTAACCCCAAAGTTACACCTTTTATCTCACCTCTTTGTTTCTGCCCGAATTGCAAATCCATCATTTTACTCAACATGGATGGACGAAGACTTTCTAAAGAAAATTGGAAAAACTTTGGGGTTGACTCCATACAGAACCGCACAAAAGAGACTGCTACAGCGGTGGCTTCTTGCAATCCCTGCGCACTTGAACAAAAATTTGGGGTGATTTCTTGTGAGAAATGGGTGCAATGCACCTACGCGGTGTGTGCAGTGAACTGGGGCGCTGCATGGCAAAACAGTCTTGGGATCCCAGCGGAAGTTTTAGGGCTTCGCATCGGTTGTTGCAGGTGGCAGTTGCATATACTGTATTTGTTTTGCTGTCATCCATGTGACTGGTTCCAAACCACGGGATAATTTTGATTTCTTTTGGGGTTCAGTTGAAATCATAAATTGCTGTCTTTGCGTATTGCCAAGATTGAGCCAGCTCAGCACTGGCAACTGGTCGATCTGTCAACCTGCCACCCCCGAACATAGTTTGGTTGTTTGTAGATATGTCTCTATCTGTTCTCCCCATTATCGCATCACCAATGGATAAACTTTCAAAACTGTTTCCTGCATATTTACAAGCTTGACATACATCTATAGTCTAACGCCTCCCAAGATGTCCATCATATTTCCCTGGTAGTTCTTTTGGTATAAACAACATCAAGTGTGTACATACCTACTGTGTAGATGTAAACATCCATGTGTGCAAATACATAAATATATACACATATACATTGAACATGTAGATCAAAATACAGATGAAATCACAAAAGTATATTCGAATATAATATATTTAGATCCACGTACATATATACATACATATGTATATATATATATGCATACATACATACATACATACATACATATACATACATACATACATACATACATACATATATATACACATAAGTATATATACACATATATATCTAAATATGTTATGGTTTGTTTAGAGACAAACTGTCGGAGTTACCACCGTTGAGAAAGAAACTTCCGAGTTACCATCGACCAGCTCAAGTTTGATTTTTTGCCAAAAAAATGCATTTGCAGTGCATATTCTCCAAAACTGTCAGAGCAAATGTGCTGAATCAAACTGGTAGCGGAGCAAACTCATATGCGGCTGTGAAATTTACAAAGTGCAAACCGCGAAAAGGTCAGGTCAATAAGTTGTGAAAACAACGAACGGCACGAAAACCACGAAAATCGTGAACAACACGAAAACGCATGAAAAGCACGAAAACCGTGAACAACACGAAAAAGCAAGAAAACCACGAAAATCGTGAACACCACGAAATTTGTGCAGGAAAACAAAACCCACGAAAAAACATGAAAATGCAAAAATATGTGTCGAAAATCAGGACACCAAGAAAAGCGTGAAAAACGTGAACCCGTGAAAACCGTGAAAACCGTGAAAACGTGAAAACGTGAAAACCGTGAAAACCGTGAAAACGTGAAACATCAACCCTTTTCACGCGAAAACGTGAAAGTCAACCCTTTTCACGCGTGAAAACCCATTTGGCCGTGGAAAACGGGTATGGCCGTGGAAACACGAAAACAAGGTCCTGAGCCATATGGACCCGGTTTCTGGATCCGAACGGTCCTCTAGGATTAGACAGGGGCTGTAACTCCCGGTCGTAGTACGAACCGGCCGGTGACTGCTAAACGGTCCCCAAAGCTGATAGCTGGAGCGGGTGGGTCCAGAAGGAAACTACTTCAAGTTTTGAGAGACATGTGAAAAGGGAGCGATTAGCACTGCTGCCTTCATCCGTGCTCGGCTGTACATCACCTTGCCATTTTTCCAAAAGACAACGTTCACACATAGCAGAATATGAACCATGTACGTATAGTCTAGCGCAGAAAACAGTGTCCGTTTCGCAGAAAGACTGTGCTCGGAAGGCGCTGCAGTCATCCTAGCTCATCGCTTGGCTTTGGATGGATCGAAACCATTTTTTGAGGAAAGCCGGGGGTCAAGCTCACATGCTACATGTAGGTTGGTTTAGATAGCATTGTGAATTGTCATTTTGATGAGTTGGCAGTTCTACATTTGCTGAGAGGAACAACGTGACCTCCGATTCAGATGAGTAAAGACCAGCTTGTGCTTCCGGAGCAGCTCCCCAACCTGACAGCTGGAGCGATCCTGCAGAAGCGAATCAGTTAGGAGCTTTGACATGTAAACGAACCTGTGGCATTACCATTGACGCTGCTAGACTTAGATGCTCCTGAGCCACTTTCTTTGAGAAGCCGCTTTACAGTTGCGGCACGCAGCCGAATTAATGTACGTGCAGACTCAACAACCACTTTGTTTGCGAGACAGCAATTTTGCAGATGCTGGAAGCAATAGCATGGCCTGCAAAGGGACACAAGTATGCATTCCTGTCATTTCTGACAACTAGTGTGGGTAGAGCTTATATGAGGAATCCATCTGGAATTCTTGGGCATAGAGTCTGCCCTGGGCACTGCATTCTTCCTAGTTCATCACTTTGCTTTGAATCTTTTCAAACAATTTTCAATGGAAAGCCCGGAGTCAAGCTCGCATGTATCTATATGCAGATTGGTTCAGGTAGCAGTGTTGTTTTGATGACAAGGATTTGGCACGCACTGAAAGGACGATCGTGGCCCGGAATTCTTTTCATCATATTACAGACAGGCTTGTGACCTATAAAGTTCCCACATTTGGAAATTTTTGGCAGCTAGAGCGGGCAGATCTTGCAAAAAACATTCGTTTGCAAACATGGACATCACGCATTCTTTTCCAACGCAATGCCAAATTTGACACTTGGGGCGGGTAGATCTTGCAGAAAGCAACCAGTAGGGAGCTTTGAATAAGCGTTCGCAGCATGTAAATGCGGGCCGCTGCGGTTGAAGCTGTAGATGCTCCTGAGAAACTCTCTCTGAGAGGCGGGTTCACACTTGCTGCACGCAACCGAATGCATGTACGTGCAGACTCAACAACCACGTTTGTTTGCGAAACAGCAATTTTTGCAGGTACTGGAAGGAAAGATGTGGCCTGCAGTCGTTTGCATCCTAGTACAGGCAGGCTTGTGACTTACAAACTTCTCACATGTGGATAATTTGGCAGCAAGAGCGGGCAGATCTTGCAAAAAACATTCGTTTGCAAACATGGGCATCACGCATTAATTCCAAAACCCATGCCAAATCTGACATTTGGAGCGGGTAGATCTTGCAGAAAGCAACCAGTACGGAGTTTTGAATAAGCGTTCGCAGCATGTAAATGCGAGGCACTGCGGTTGAAGCTGTAGATGCTCCTGAGAAACTCTTTCTGAGAGGCGGGTTCACATTTGCTGCACAGAACCGAATGCATGCGTGTGCCGGCTCAATTACGGCTTTTGATTTCATGACATCAATTTTGCAGGTGCTGGAAGGAATAGCATGGCCTTGGAACCAAGCCACACATGCATGGACCAGTCTATCTGCTGCTCATTTTAGAAAAGTTTCCAATTCGGTCAGCTAGAGCGGGTAGATCTTAGATGAGGTAAGCACAGTCGAGAGCCACGGGCACTGAAGTCATCCTAGCTCACCACTTGGCTTTGGATGGTTTGGAACCATTGTCTGTAAAATCTGGGGAGGTAAGCTGGTCGGTTTTGTTATCATTGCCATTTGTAGTGTTGATGAGTTAGCAATTCAGAAAGTCTGCATATGTTGAGAGGAGCAACATGGCCTGCAATCCAAACAGGACCAGTAAAGAGCAGCTTGTGCTTCCGGAACAGCTCCCCAAACTGACAGCTGGAGCGATCCTGCAGAAGCGAATCAGTTGGGAGCTTTGATAAGTGCTCGCAGCATGTAAATCAAACCACGGGCATCACTGCCGAAGCTGCTAGATGCTCCTGAGCCACTTTCTTTGAGAAGCCGCTTTACAGTTGCGGCACGCAGCCGAATTAATGTACGTGCAGACTCAACTGCGACTTTTGCCTGCGAGACAGCAATTTTGCAGGTGCTGGAAGGAAAAGCATGACCTGCAAAGGGACACAAGTATGCATTCCTGTCATTTTGACAACTAGTGCGGGTAGAGCTTATATGAGAAATCCATCTGGAATCCTTCCCAAGAATGCATGTAACATTTAATCTAAGACCATGGGCCTTTCAGCCATTGTAGCTGACTACTTGGCATTGGATAGTCCGAACCATTGTCTCTGTAAAAATCCGGGGGAGGTAAGCTCACATGCTACATGTAGGTCGGTTTAGATAGCATTGTCAGTTGTAGTTTTGATGAGTTGGCAATTCTGCATTTGTTGACAGGAGCAACATGGCCTGCAATCCAAACAGGACCAGTAAAGAGCAGCCTGTGCTTCCGGAACAGCTCCCCAAACTGACAGCTGGAGCGATCCTGCAGAAGCGAATCAGTTGGGAGCTTTGATAAGTGCTCGCAGCATGTAAATCAAACCACGGGCATCACTGCCGAAGCTGCTAGATGCTCCTGAGGCACTTTCTTTGAGAAGCCGCTTTACAGTTGCGGCACGCAGCCGAATTAATGTACGTGCAGACTCAACAACCACTTTGTTTGCGAGACAGCAATTTTGCAGATGCTGGAAGCAATAGCATGGCCTGCAAAGGGACACACGTATGCATTCCTGTCATTTCTGACAAGTGCGGGTAGAGCTTATATGAGGAATCCATCTGGAATCCTTGCCAAGAATGAATGTAACATTTAATCTAAGACCATGGGCCTTTCAGCCATTGTAGCTGACTACTTGGCATTGGATAGTCCGAACCATTGTCTCTGTAAAAATCCGGGGAAGGTAAGCTCACATGCTACATGTAGGTCGGTTTAGGTAGCATTGCTATTTGTAGTATTGATGAGTTGGCAATTCTGCATCTGTTGAGAGGAGCAACATGGCCTGCAATCCAAACAGGACCAGTAAAGAGCAGCTTGTGCTTCCGGAACAGCTCCCCAAACTGACAGCTGGAGCGATCCTGCAGAAGCGAATCAGTTGGGAGCTTTGATAAGTGCTCGCAGCATGTAAATCAAACCACGGGCATCACTGCCGAAGCTGCTAGATGCTCCTGAGGCACTTTCTTTGAGAAGCCGCTTGGCAATCCCTGTGCGCAGCCGAATCAATGTACGTGCAGACTCAACAACCACTTTGTTTGTGAGACAGCAGATTTGCAAGTGCTGGAAGGAGTAGTGTGGCCAGCAAACCAAGCCAGACAAATATGGACCGGCCTGCTGCCTGCCTGTTACTTCCCAAAAGTTCCCAATTTGGAGAGCTTGAGCGGGTTGATATTTTCATGACAAATCCGTTTGGAGAATTTGGAGTTCTTGAGAAAAATGTGCATAGAGTCCGCCCTGGGCACGGGCACTGCATTCTTCCTAGTTCATCACTTTGCTTTGAATCTTTTCAAACAATTTTCAATGGAAAGCCCGGAGTCAAGCTCGCATGTATCTATAAGCAGATTGGTTTAGGTAGCAGTTTACAGACAGGCTTGTGACCTATAAAGTTCCCACATTTGGATATTTTGGCAGCTAGAGCGGGCAGATCTTGCAAAAAACATTCGTTTGCAAACATGGACATCACGCATTCTTTTCCAACGCAATGCCAAATTTGACATTTGGAGCGGGTAGATTGTAGATCTTGCAGAAAGCAACCAGTAGGGAGCTTTGAATAAGCGTTCGCAGCATGTAAATGCGGGGCGCTGCGGTTGAAGCTGTAGATGCTCCTGAGAAACTCTCTCTGAGAGGCGGGTTCACACTTGCTGCACGCAACCGAATGCATGTACGTGCAGACTCAACAACCACGTTTGTTTGCGAAACAGCAATTTTTGCAGGTGCTGGAAGGAAAGATGCGGCCTGCAGTCCTTTGCATCCTAGTACAGGCAGGCTTGTGACTTACAAACTTCTCACATTTGGATAATTTGGCAGCAAGAGCGGGCAGATCTTGCAAAAAACATTCGTTTGCAAACATGGGCATCACGCATTAATTCCAAAACCCATGCCAAATCTGACATTTGGAGCGGGTAGATCTTGCAGAAAGCAACCAGTACGGAGTTTTGAATAAGCGTTCGCAGCATGTAAATGCGGGGCACTGCGGTTGAAGCTGTAGATGCTCCTGAGAAACTCTTTCTGAGAGGCGGGTTCACATTTGCTGCACAGAACCGAATGCATGCGTGTGCCGGCTCAATTACGGCTTTTGGTTTCATGACAGCAATTTTGCAGGTGCTGGAAGGAATAGCATGGCCTTGGAACCAAGCCAGACATGCACGGACCAGCCTAACTGTCACATCTGACAAGGTCCCAATTTGGGAGCGTGTAGATTTTACATGAGGTAAACAGAGTCTAGAGCCATGGGCACTGCAGCCATCCTAGCTCACCACTTGGCTTTGGATGGTTTGGAACCATTGTCTGTAAAATCTGGGGAGGTAAGCTCACATGCAAGGTGCATGTAGGTCGGTTTTCATGATGAGTAGTTAACAGTTCTGCATTTGTTGGGAGGAGCAACGTGGCCTGCAATCCAAACAGGACCAGTAAAGACCAGCCTGTGCTTCCGGAACGGCTCCCCAAACTGACAGCTGGAGCGATCCTGCAGAAGCGAATCAGTTGGGAGCTTTGATAAGTGTTCGCAGCATGTAAATCGAACCACGGGCATGACGTTTGAAGTTGCTAGATGCTCCTAAGGCACTTTCTTTGAAAAACCGCTTCACAATCCCTGCACGCAGCCGAATCAATGTACGTGCGCTTTTGTTTGTGAGATAGCAGTTTTGCAGGTGATGGAATGAGAAATGAGGCCAGCAAACCAAGCCAGACAAATATGGGTCTAGTGGCCACGCATGACGTGTCCTCAATGTCTGCACCTGTGACGGCCATACAGCTCGGATTCAAGCGACGGCAGCTGTTGTCTCTAAAACGCCGTGCAGCAAACTCACCACACACAATCACCTATGTATACTTGCAGATGCCGAAAGCTTGTCTGGTTTGATGAACCAAGTTCTCTGGAAGGACAGACATGGACACGGAAATCGTTGGCAGTGTTGTTTGGTTCAGTGACAGCTTTTTCAATCCAATTTCTACTGTGCCGGCAAGCACGTCACAGCAGGCAATCTGCAAGATTCTGACGTACTCTCATTGGTGCTTGGCATTGTCAACGATCTGGGCTGCAAGAAACAATGTGGTTTGCAATCCACTTCAATTCAATGGTACGGACAAGCTTGTCTCTGCGCGACAAATGACAACTTGACAGCTGCAGGGTGTAGACCCTACATGTTCCTCTGTGGTAACTTCCGACCATCTTTTGCATGTTCACAGCCAGTTTCTTGTCCAATAATCAGCCAGACAGGCACTGACAGTGAATGCATTTGGTCAAAGTACACAACATTCGAGGTTGAGGTTGGGCAACTGACGAATGAATATGTACAGTAGTGGGTTCGCAAAGGGATCTGTGTCCTTCCATGTTAAAGTTCGTTCGATTTTGAAAGCTCGAAGCCTGAAGGCGACAGTTGGAGCGCTAGACCAAAGCCAAGATTCGCAGTGCAACCACAGTGCTGTTGGCAAATGTCAGTGGCTGCTGAAAGCATCAGAGTAGAAGTTCCTCCATCCCAATGAGTCTTGGTTTTCAGTACAGTTTGCTCCAAGCAATTAGGCTCCGTGTAGTCTTAGGCTAAGTTCCTACGGCCACTGCTCAGTCGGGAGCCGCTTGGGCAGCAGCTGGTTCCAGTCACTTCGCTGCACTCGTAACAAAATTCGTGCAGTTTGACCGATGAAGATGACACACTAAGAGTTTTGTTCTTGTCCAGATTCAAGCAGTCTTTGCCAGGCATCAACCGGCCATGTGATCCAAATGAACAAGTAAAGACAATGCTTTCAATGCTTCGCTGCACGTTCTTGCAGTTGGAGAGGAAGCAGTCGTTTGATAATGGGTTGGAGAAGATTCCACCACTGATGGCATTCTGCATTTGTGTTGTGCGCATATGGTTTGGTCTCTGCAAGTGCTGAAACTGAATACTGCCACACATGAGAGGCATCAACATGGCCGGTTGAATGCTGGTTGTGCAGTGGAATTCATTCTTACTGCAACTGAATGGGGCAACACGAAAGCAAGCTTTTCACAAGCTTCGTGCAAGCTTCGCGCAATCTCCGAATTGACGGCATGATTATCATGGAAGGCAAGATCCACTCTGAAAGATGCATCGCGCCGGCACCACGGCAAAAACATCCCAAATTCCACTCAAATCATGTTGGTGCAGGCCCGCACCAGCTCATCTCAAGAAAATGAGCAAGCGTGCGTGCGTTCGCACGCCTCTAGGAATGCGCTCTTGTCGCCCCGATGTTCGCTCACCTGCTCCAGCGCGGTACCGCTTAGATTCTAAGATCCAGGTGCACCATTGGGTTTCAAGAATCGACTGGACCAAAATCATGGAATGTCGAACATGGCAACATATCGACTGAGTTCATGAAATTGGGCCGTTGCGAAGATGGGCAGCTTTCCTGTTGTACATTTGTCAAACTTGATCTGTGCCCGAAACGAAGAACATCGAAGAACAAATTGTTTCCAGGGCTGAGACTTAAGCCTTGGATCCTTCCACGCCAATTTGATCCTTCGTGGACCTCCAGAGATGGTCCGCAGAGGCTCGGCAGAGCATTGCGAGTGTCAAACGTGGTAGTTCAAAACGCTTCTGAGAAAATTCACGGATCAACTGGCTGGTGGTTTCAGTTCTGTTTATTTTTAATCCTTCCTGGGATGGTGATCCAAAATGTCATCCGTACATCCAGTGAATTTGGATCCTGAAATGCACCATGAGTAGACGCGTCCCTGGTCTGGTGGATTGAAAGTTGTTCTGTTGTGGTCCCCGGGCTCCGTCTGGGAAACTTGTTGAAGCGCACTCAAGGCCACAGAAATGGAGGGGGGATGTCGGTCTCCGTTAAGTACGCCGTAAGTCATCCCTCAAAACACAAGACCGCCCTAGTTTTTGTGCTTGAGCGCAAGGTTCCTTCAATTGCGCCGTACTTAGCCCTGCAAGAAAACAGAAATGTCATGCCGGCCGAAATCACATAAGCACGGCGAATGGAGACAAAGGGGCTCAGCTAGTCCCTGGTGCTTGTGGCATTGTGGGCTTCAAGAATTTGCAGTCAGAGATATCTTGTGCATACAAGCGGGCTGTCCGTCACGAACCCCCCTTTCTAGCTGGGGCTTGGAGGCATTGCAACAGAGTCCTTTGATTTCAGAGTTTTGAAAGGCTGTTCGCATGGTTCCGCGCTGTGTCACTCATGACCCAGGAAGCTCACGACTTGCCTTGGTGAGTCTGAAGCTGGTAGCTGCGGGGGCTCTCGGCCTCGGTTCCGAAGGCAGAGTTGCTGCTGAAAGTTGGAATGTGGCCAATGACTTCGCAGATGAACGGCTCGTGCTGAATGCCTTGAGACCTCCTTGACAGCTAAAACAGGTAGATGAACAGGTAGATGTTTCATGTTTGGCGCTTTGTGAAATGCCTTAGATTCAAAAAGTCTTGCTCAGTTTGCATGCCAGAGACCATTGGAATATTTTTGGATGTTTATAAACCACGTGTTCCAAGGTAATAGCAATGCACCTATATTCGGGCGTCCAGAACTCTTGGGTCTCTTGGTATGTCCTTGGGTTTGAGAATGTTTGAAGGCAACGACGAAGGCTTAATTCTGGATGCAACCTGAAACATACGCGCTCAAAGGATATTCTGATGGACCTAGAGCAGAACACATGTCGTGTTGTGTCCATGCTGTGTTTCCATGCAATGCCGAAGCACCTGCAAAATGGGCCTTTGAAGGCAAGATTCTGTTCACTACGCCGTACCAGAATAGGGAGATCAGGCCATTTTGAAACAACGCTCTCCAGTGGCGCGAAATACGGACGCAGTAGCCCAGTGACGAGAAGAAGCGCCTGTTCGGGCGTCCAGAAATCTTTGATTTCTTGGTATGTCCTTGGTGGGAATGTTTGAATGTAACAAAGTGTGACGCTGGATGCAACCTGAAACATACCCTTTCAAAGGATATTCTAACGGACCTAGAGTCCATGCTGTGCGTCAATACAATGCCGCAGCATGTGAAAAAATGGGCGTTTGAAGGCAAGATTCTGTTCACTACGCCGTACCATAATAGGGAGACCTGTAGTTTTCGAAATACGTTCAAGCCGCTGCAAATGGATGTGAGCAAGGTCAGAGTCCGAAAAGTGCGGCGTGCTTGAACCTTGCCCTTAAGTATGCCGGATGTAGTGAGGACCTGACCCTCCGAGACAAGCAGTTTGGGTCCTGCACCAGAAGAAGATGCACACATGCAAATTGACATGCATCCGAATCACAGTAAGCCGAAGGGGGGATGTTGGTCTATCTACACGGTGCTTCAGTCAAACCTAGAACGTAAGACTTTGCTACTACATGTGTTTGAGCGCAAGATCCCCTCAGTTGCACTGTACTTAGCCCTACAAGAAAACAAGCAGGTGGAGAAATAATATACAAACCCACGCATGTTTAGAATTCTTTGGCTACCCCAGTTCGACCAGCCTACGCAATCTCCAGAGAATGGGGATGATTCCAAATTCTTTTGAAGAGCTTTGTAAGAAGTGAGAAGATCCCTTTGCCATGTCATGCTTTTTAAAACCCTGACGTGACTGTGACGCCCGAATTGGGTTCTCGCGCACAGGCAATCTGAAACTCACTCAAACCACCGAAAATCAACGGGGGTATGTTGGATTCCCTAGAGTACACAGTACTTAGGACTTTGAAATGCAAGACAATACTTGGACATTTTGAGAGCACAATCTCGTTAATTGCGCCAACGGTGGGGGGCGGCAGGGTATCTCTCATGAATTCCCTTTTATTCCACATCATTCTGTTTGCCAGGGACCATCGGAAATATCTCAGGAATGCGCAAAACAACGCCATGCGGCCATGCGCCTATTCCGCCTATGTAATCCTTGGGTTTGGGAATGTTTTCAAGGTAGCACAGGCTTGACTGTGGGTGCAACCTGAAACATACTCGTTCAAAGGATACTCCGATGGACCTAGAGCAGAACACATGTCCTGTTGTGTCCATGCTGTGTTTCAATGCAATGCCGAAGCACCTGCAAAATGGGCGTTTGAAGGCAAGATTCTGTTCACTAAATAGGGAGATCAGGCCATTTTGAAACAACGCTTTCCGGTGGCGTGAAATAAGGACGCAGTAGCCCAGTGACGAGAAGAAGCGCCTATTCGGGCGTCCAGAAATCTTTGATTTCTTGGTATGTCCTTGGTGGGAATGTTTGAATGTAGCAAAGGCTTGACGCTGGATGCAACCTGAAACATACCCTTTCAAAGGATATTCTATCGGACCCAGAGCAGAACACATGTGTTGTGGCCATGCTGTGCGTCAGAACAATGCCGAAGCGCCTGCAAAATGGGCGTTTGAAGGCAAGATTCTGTTCACTACGCCGTACCATAATAGGGAGATCAGGCCACTTTGAAACAACGTTCTCCAGTGGCGTGAAATACGGACGCAGGAGCCCAGTGACGAGAAGAAGCGCCTGTTCGGGCGTCCGGAAATCTTTGATTTCTTGGTATGTCCTTGGTGGGAATGTTTGAATGTAACAAAGGCTTGACGCTGGATGCAACCTGAAACATACCCTTTCAAAGGATATTCTATAGCGTTATAACGGACCTAAAGCGGAACACATGACGTGTTGTGTCCATGCTGTGCGTCAATACAATGCCGAAGCACCTGCAAAATGGGCGTTTGAAGGCAAGATTCTGTTCACTAAATAGGGAGATCAGGCCATTTTGAAACAACGCTCTCCAGTGGCGTGAAATAAGGACGCAGTAGCCCAGTGACGAGAAGAAGCAGGCGTCCAGACATCTTTGGTTTCTTGGCATGTCCTTGGTGTGAATGTTTGAATGTAACAAAGGCTTGACGCTGGATGCAACCTGAAACATACCCTTTCAAAGGATATTCTAACGGACCTAGAGCAGAACACATGTCGTGTTGTGTCCATGCTGTGCTTCAATGCAATGCCGCAGCATGCGAAAAAATGGGCGTTTGAAGGCAAGATCCAGTCACTACGCCGTACCATAATAGGGAGACCTGTAGTTTTCGAAATACGTTCAAGCCGCTGCAAATGGATTTGAGCAAGGTCAGAGTCCGAAAAGTGCGGCGTGCTTGAACCTTGCCCTTAAGTATGCCGGATGTGCTTGAACCTTGCCCTTAAGTATGCCGGATGTAGTGAGGACCTGACCCTCCGAGACAAGCAGTTTGGGTCCTGCACCAGAAGAAGATGCACACATGCAAATTGACATGCATCCGAATCACAGTAAGCCGAAGGGGGGATGTTGGTCTATCTACACGGTGCTTCAGTCAAACCTAGAACGTAAGACTTTGCTACTACATGTGTTTGAGCGCAAGATCCCCTCAGTTGCACTGTACTTAGCCCTACAAGAAAACAAGCAGGTGGAGAAATAATATACAAACCCACGCATGTTTAGAATTCTTTGGCTACCCCAGTTCGACCAGCCTACGCAATCTCCAGAGAATGGGGATGATTCCAAATTCTTTTGAAGAGCTTTGTAAGAAGTGAGAAGATCCCTTTGCCATGTCATGTTTTTTAAAACCCGGACGTGACTGTGACGCCCAAATTGGGTTCTCGCGCACAGGCAATGTGAAATTCACTCAAACCACCGAAAATCAACGGGGGTATGTTGGATTCCCTAGAGTACACAGTACTTAGGACTTGAAATGCAAGACAGTACTTGGATATTTCAGAGCACCCGTGAAAATTGCGACATGCTCAGGCAGATCTGGTTACGTGAAACGTCAAGCCACTGCTGGAGATGAGTATGCTCAGCCTCATGCTTTCTCAAAGCTGGCGTGATTGTGACGCCCAAATGGGTTCTCGCCCGCATGGACACATGCAATGTGAAATGCCTTCAAACCACCGAAAATCGAAGGGGGGGACTTTGGTGAAGTACTTACCCTGATGGATCTTTCTCCCACCATAAGAAGTCGATCATGACGCTTTCGGGATGACTGTTTGGGCGTGCTTCGCCGAGACTCCCGGTCTGAACTTGTTTTGCCGCGAATTTGGCATGCGAAGAGCGCTCGTCAACTTCTGCCAAGCCGTCAACAATTATCAAGACTGAGATAAGCAACGTCATGGAACCATCCAAACGCCGTCAAAATAGACTCATGTTTCAATTTCAGTTCTTGCCAGTAACATCTTGTTAACTGCGAGCTGCTGACTTGTTTCAGATTGCCAATCCAAACAGTGTCAAATTGTGAAAACATCACATGACAGACTTTATGTATCATGAAATGTTTCTACCAGCAAGCTTTGCCTTTGGGGATTGGAAGAGCCTGGAACGCCAAAGTGCCCTCAGTTGCACTGTACTTAGCCCTACAAGAAAACAAGCAGGTGGAGAAATAATATACAAATCTATGCATGTTTGGAATCCGTTGGCTACTCCAGTTCGACCAGCCCAAGCAATCTAAGCAATCTCCAGAGAATGGGGATGATTCTAAATTCTCCTGAGCTTCCTAAGAAGTGAGAAGGTCCGTTTGGAGGTCAGTGCTCTCTTAATTGGCCAATCAAAAATTGGCAGGCATTGCAAGGTCGCAGATTTCGAAGGTTTTGCTCAGCCGTGGTCGTGAAACAATTAGGTTTAAGCGTCACAGAGATCACCCAGCCATTCGCCTATGATCGCCCGTTCCCCCTAGTTCTTGACCAGAATATCGGAAGAGCCTGGAACGCCAAAGTATTTTTAAAGGCAACCTTTGGAAAGTGGCAGTTTTCCGTGCCACTTTCAAGAATCAATCAAAAAAAGGCAACTGCGTTCAAAATGATGAACTTTTCTGAAATCACATGTGCAAAAGTGGCGGTAAAAGTGGCATTAAATCGCAAAGTGGCGTAAAACGCGTAAAGAAGGGACGAAATAGGCAACTTTTCACTTCCAAAAAGTGGCCTTGCAAATGGTACACAGTGGCGTAGTTGCCTAAACAAAATAAGACACCTGGCTTTGCAGGAGTGAGTGGCGTTTTGTTCCCGAAAAGTGGTCGTGCCGATCGCAGCTCTGCTAACCAAAACTCTCAAGGTCGTTCCTCTTGCACTTGCTTCTCCAGCAGTTCTTGTCAATGAGAGCGCTTTTGGACGTCATGTGTGGTTTTCGCTTTTCGCCAAGAAAACGAGCAAAATTTCCACTCTCGCCTCCAGCACCTCGACGTGCACAGCGCCCCCGGGCCTATGGTAACATAGGTGCGAAGCATTGTGAAGACCCCCGTTCATGGTAGTGTTAACGCACCGCCCGGTGTCACGCTAACACCATGGCCACCATTCTGTGGTGCCGGGGCCCTGGACTGGGCACAGCCGGCCACCAGACTGGCAAACCGCCAGCGACAACACCGGAACACTGGCACTGACCAGCTCCATTTGGCGCAAGCCAAACATCACTTGAGCAAACTTTGCAAAATTCAACATACCGATGTGGGCTCCGCATGGCTCCGCCCCATCACGCCCAGTTCACTGGGACCAGCACAGCATTTACGCCGCGGCCCCAGCCGCAAAACACGACGGATTATCCCCGGGACCTTACCGGTCTACATGACAAGAAACACAGCCAGCCGGCTTTTCCACGCTCCGCGGGATACCCCCACATGCTGGTAACAGTTACCTTGCGAAGATTACGAATTTTCCGGCGCGAAAGACGGGCGCAGTGACGCGGAGAAATAATATACAACTCCCCGCATGTTTGCAATTCTTTGGCTGCTGCATCGACCAGCCCAAGCTATTTCCAGAGAAAGGGGATGATTCCAAATTCTCTTGAGCTGTGTAAGAAGCGAGAAGATCCCTTGGCCATGTCATGCTTTCTCGAAGCTGACGTGATTGTGACGCCTATGTCTTCCAGGCGCCAGTTCGTCTGCCGTGCTTCGTGTGTCCCGTCGGAGGTTTGAGCGTGAAGCGTGAAGTTCAGGATGGCGCTCTTTAGCTTTCGTCGAATGCTGTCAGAGGCTGAGACCTCATGCAGCGGGCTGTCGCAGATAGTGGAAGAATGCCGATGGGTCGCAACCCTCGCGCCCAAACATCAAAGTAAATGGTAAGTGGATGTTCCTCCACCCAAATATGGAGTTTAAAGGTTTTAAATGGTTTTATTCCATCTTGATTTGAAATTTTATTGATTTCATCCGGTACTTCTAAGGCTTCAAAATCCAGATGCACCATGTGAGTGATGTGGAGTTTCCAGCTGTGGCCTTCAGTTTGCCATATGTTTGTTTTTGCACACCTTGGTCGATCACCCAGGGCCGCTACTGTTTTGGTGGAAGTGGGCTCATTCAACCCGCGATTTTTAGTGCGTGTTGAGGCGCCATCCAAACTTTGGATCCACATGTCCCTTTAAACACAAGCGCTGTCAACTCTGAAGATCTTCTGCGCTTGATCCAAAGTAGGTGGAGCACCGGACCGTCACGGTGTTCATGCTCTTCACGCCAAACGGATGGCATTTCAATGCGGGCTCTTGAAAGGTTTTCAACGGATTTGGGCGCAAATGACACCTCCATTTGCCGGGGGCTTCCCCCAATCAGAATGGTGATGGAGAGGAGGCTCCGCCGTCTGAGTTATCTAGTTGGTGACTTGCACATATAAACCTGAAAACACCTTGTGTCACTTCGCAAGATGTGACACGTACGTTGGATTGGAAACAGAGTGGCACCAGGGCTCGCTGCGTTTGATCTTTGATGGATCATGCAGACCATGCAGGAGTGTGAAGATTTCATTCAGTCCTTGAGAACCTTATCTTTTCTGACATGATCGCAGATTCTTGGCGCTGTTGGAGGAGAAAAGGTGTGCGGAGGATTCCATGAATTTACCGGGTGAGTGGGATAAGTAGAAACGCTCACTGTAGCTGTAGTTTTGGTCACAGGATGGACTCAAGATGGCTCAAAACACCAACGCCCCAGATGCACAACAAAGCCCCAGAAAGCAGGAACAGAAAATTAATCAGAATGACTGGTCAATAATCAAAATAGACGCCTCATAACTTATTAATAATCATCCCATTCCTCCATTCCCTACAGGATGGGGCCCCAGTCGATAGCTAAGTTGCCTGAGAAAAGTGGCAGAATTCTATGGTTTTTATATTGATTATGGTAGATACTAAACAATGGATAACTATAATATTCATGAGGTTTAAAAACCAACAGACATAACTTGGGGGCACCATCCTTTACTAAGCGCCGGTAAGTTGGCCAGGCAGCTGCCACGAGTCCGGCCGCGCGCGTTTGACCAACGGCGTCCGCGTCGATGCAGCGATGCTGCCGGAGCATTCGACCGGCTGCGCGAACCGTGGCGTGGCCGGAGGGTGGTTTGCGTGAAGAATTAGGATACAACTAATGATCGCTATGCATTCATTGCCCTATTGTAATATGTAATATAGCTTTTCAACATGGCCCATTTAGTTCGATAACTTACCTACATTGTTTATGGTGATGTTCCACATGTTAAGTTACCATAGGGCATACAAAATCCACAACTATGTTTAAAACAATGACATCTAATGTGGCAAACCCAAGAATAAACCATTCCCAAAATCATCATTTTCATGGGTGGTATAAGCCATCAATCTATATGGGTGGTTTAACGGTTTATTATTATGGCTTTGCTAATTGCACGATTAATTTTGTATATACCTAATAGTTGGATTCTGATATATGACAAACTAATAAATAACTGTTTGGATAATACGTCAGAAATGAGGATTAAAGGGGGATTAAGCCAAACATTCACAGAGAATTTACTGAAATGGGAATATGGGATATATAACCAGCTCAACATGATGATATGGTGGTGATTTTTCCTGGCAAACTGGATGAGAACGTGAGGAACCTTTCAGGGATGTTTCCAGTGAACAATGGTGTCTGAGATGCAAGAAAAGGATATTCAGCAGGAAAAATTGGAGATGGGAGTGGGATTACTAAATTGCTACTAATGATGATGGATCATCAATGGACTACTAAGTGAGTTGATCAGTGATTATACTTGTTTAAACACTGGGTCACAATCCATTCTTATTATTTCACTGGGTCACAATCCATTTTTACTATTACTATTGCTATTGTTATTATTATTATTACTATTATTGTTTTTACTATTGCTATTATTGTTGACAATCCGCATCCAGACGTTTGCCGGGAGCCCACGCAAACGTCGCACGGAATGACGAAGTCTTTTTCAATGGACCCTGACGAAGTCTGGGAGGGGTTATTGCCGCGTCCAGGGAGACCAGAATCGTGGCGTTTTAGCGAGTCCGTTGTCATGCCCTTCTACATATCATCTTACGGGGTGGCAGATTTAGATCCTATATAGCATTATCATACAAATTCTTCACATTGTTTTAGGGTTGGCAGATTCAGGCCGTTCATGTATACCGTATACATCTATATTGTTTTACAAAGTGCGCACACTATTTTACCCTTCTACATCTTGTTGTAGGGGTTGGCAGATTCATACAATGTATTTGTATGTGTTCATCTAATCTTTCAGATGATATCCACTACTATTTTACCCCGCTACTATTGTTTCAGAGGGAAGGTAAATTTTTAGCATGCAATTGTGTTATTTGTAACCTGTGTTTATGAGAGAGATGTGAAAATTGTGGTAAAAGTCGTAGATTATGTCATGTTGGGCGCATGTTAGGTTCTGCAGGTGCGTATCAATTAGTAATGTAGTAGCAATAATATTATCTAGTAACAAGCAACATGCATGGACCTCAATGAATGGCAACACCAATTATGATGCTGGGGAGCATTGCTATTCAACCCATTTTTCCATGCAACATAGCAGTTAGGTCAGGAACCGTGGATACAACTGGGATTCACTGTAACCAACAAAAAACCCATGCTATGGGGACAGGTCGGTTGCTATTTTCACTAGGAGAAATGGGAAGTTTACCATGACAAAAAGGTTGTGTTTTTCCGATTGGGGTTGGTTGGGATGAATGATATCACGGAAACTCCAAGCTGAGTCGACCCTTGAGGCTATTGTTATCGTATCTTCATGCGCTTCGATGCCAGTCACTTGTTTGACCATCCGAATCAGCCTCCGCCGGTCGATTGGAATGAGGCAGACCTGGCTGAACATCGGCGGTTTGCGTTGACTAGCTGGATTTGCTAAACTTCGGCTGATTTACAGCTCGAAATTTGATGAAAACCTCCAGAATGGGATTTATAATGATTGATGGATCCACTGTCTACTTTTTGGAATCATTTTATACCATGATTATTATCATCTGGAATAAAATGAATGACCTCATGTCGCGACCTGGAATGGTGGTGAATGGATTGGGATAACGACCTCCCAAAATAGCCGAACTTTGCAGCTTGGTGGATTGAATTATCATGTATCCAGATTGTTGGATTTTTTTTTGAACATTTAAACGCATGGATGGTTTGCCTTTGGATTGCGTGATGATCTCCCTTTCTGAACGATTTTTCTCCGTGATGTTTGAAGATTTTGCGTTCTCAAGTAGGTAAAGAAAACAAAAAACACTCGCCCTGGGATATAAACTCACGCATAGATATGGAAAACAACCATGGTTTCCAGTTCCGAAAATGATCTACATTCAAAATGGATCATGGTGGATTGTCCAGATTCAATACCACTATGTGTGTGTGTATATATACATATATAATCTACCGGAGGGTACCCTCTGGTCATTTGAGACTTCGACCCTGGAAATAGCCTATTTTAGTGGAAGCTCATCTTTCACTTGGAGGTCTTCCCACTTTGTAAGTGGTTACTAACCCTATTTGCTTCCCATTCCGTGGTGTTATTCCACATATTATGTAATATATATATATTAGTGTATATATGTATATATATATATATATATATACACATTATACATATGAATCAATAGTCGGGTTGTTGTCATGTGGTCATAACAGCTTATTACCCAGTTGCGATCCGCGGGATGATCCTCCAAGTGCTGTAATAGCCATGGCTTATAGTCACAATAGATCCATAGATCATTACGACCCATGGAACTTCTACTTCTACTTCCTCTTTTTTGTGACCCCCAAGATTTTATCACAGTTGTCTCCTCCTCCTCCCTCTCCTCCTCGTCCTCCAGCTTCTCCTCCACCACCTCTGCATCCACTTCCATGTCCACTTCCGCCTTGCCAACTCTTCGCCAACTTCCGCGCGCAGTGGGCACTGCTGGACCTCAGCTGCCGGCTTCCGATCTGAGTGGGCACGGCTGGACCTCAACCAGAGACCTTCCGAGCCCAGTGGCACCGCTGGACCTCAACGGCCAGATAGAATTCCAGAAGATATGCCAGCTAGAACGCCAGATAGACTGTCAGATAGAATGCCAGAAGATATGCCAGATAGAATGCCAGAAGGTATGCCAGATAAAGTGCCAGAAAATTTGGCAGATAGAATGCCAGAAGATTTGCCAGATAGAATGCCAGATAGGATGTCAGAAGATATGCCAGATAGAATGCCAGATAGAATGCCAGAAGATATGCCAGAACATATGACAGAAGATACGTCAGAAGATTTGCCAGTAACAAAACGTATAAATGTCATGGCGGGGATCACTCGAAGTAAAGTATTTTTTTTACTGGTGCTAAACGTAGGGAATGGGATGATCCATGATAAGTATCAGCAATAAATCCCATTCCCCCATTCCCTACGTTTAGCAGTAAGTTTTTGACACCCCAAAAACATGGAGGTTTCCGAAAAGAAGGGTACCCCCAGTTCTCATCCATTTATAGATGGGATTTTCCATGAAATAAACCACCCAGCTATGGGGGATCCCTCAATTTTTGGAGACCTTCAAATGTGGTAAGCCCAATGCCCCAACGAGTCGATGGTCGGCAGGAAGAAGATGGCCCCTGGATGCCTCCCGAGACATCTGCCAGCTGCTTAGCGCGCTATTTTCAGCACCTTGCTGGCAACGGGAACGCGGGACTTTGGGACGGGTGGAATTGTTGGATTTTTGGTCCGTTGTCAAGGTTTTATATAGTATATTATATCTTCTAAAAAGATATGGTTTCTTCGATCTTTCGATCTTGGAAGATGGGATTTTCTTTGGGTATTTTAACCCCCAGGTGAATTCTTGGGCTAAAACCTGGTGGATCTCAGGTTTTCCACGGCCAGCGGCCGGCACGCGCCCTTCGGCTTGTGGCCGGCCAATGCGATGTGTCACTTGGAAAGTCCTGCGTCAGCTACCACTGGATCACCTTACCATCACCCGCGTTGCTGAATTTTTGCATCTGTTAGCTGCATATCTTAGCCAGTTATGATATGTTGTATATATATATACACACTCTAATATGTATATGATAAATATTTTAAACATATATATATATCCTTTTATATGTGAATATAATAATATATATATATATATTATATGAAACACCATTTGTTCAGTTTTTGTTTATATATGTTTTTTTTAAAACATAAGTTAATATATGCTGTTATATATTTTATTTACATATATATATATATACATAGATTAATATAGTTTTTATATAGTGTATATTTTATGTCAGATATGCAAAACATATTGAACACATGCTATATATATAATGTATAAATGTATATTTCAATAGATAGTATTTATTTTTTATATAACATATTGTATAGATATAACTTATGTATATATATACTCAATATACGTTATATTCATATTTTACATATTATATATTATGTATATATTGTATATACATATATACTGTATATATATACAATATATATATATTTATACTCAAATACATATAAATGTATCACATATCACATATTATCTCGGATATATGTTATATTCTTCTTGATATACTATTTTTTCATTATAAATCATAAATTAGAATGATAATTTTTGTATTATATAATATCTTATTCAATTATATTATGGTATATTTGCAATATATACTATATTTACTATATATACAATATATGTATAATATAAACATATAATATAATATATATAGTGTTTACTATAGTATATATAAATATAATATTTACTATATATATATAAATAATATTTACTATATAATATATATATTATTACTATTATATAATAAATAAATAAATACATAAATAAATAAATAAATATATATATATTTACTCTCAATATAATATATTACATTTATGTTTTTCTTTGAATACAATAATCTTTTGTTATATTTTAAGATATTTATTTTACAATATAATTGTTTATAACATTATTTTTTGAAACACATATGTACATATATATATATATAATCGAAGGAAGTTTAGAAGTCAAACTTCCGACAATATGGACAGATGAAAAGCAGAGCAGGGAAGAGGCAGAGAGGAGAAGATCAGAGAAGAGAAAGAGTCAGCAGAAAGAAGATGCAGATGCGCAAAAAGGTAGGAAAGTCGCGATTCACTGTGTTTCTCCAATGATTTGTGGCTCCGGAGGGTCCAAAAGTAGGCTCGCTAAAGCGGCGGGTGCGGAGCCAGCTGGCCAGATGAGAGATGAAAAATTGCACGCCGTTGTGGCGCGAAGCACATTTCCAAGTCAAAATGTACAAAACACACCATTCTCGGACCACTTTTGGAAGTTGAGATGTCGAAAAAGTGCACGCCGTTGTGGCGCGAAGCACATTTCCAAGTCAAAATGTACAAAACACCACAGGAGCGGACCACTTTTGGAAGTTGAGATGTCGAAAAAGTGCACGCCGTTGTGGCGCGAAGCACATTTCGAAGTCAAAAGTGTTAAAAACTGAGGGGTTCGGACCACTTTTGGAAGTTGCGATGTCGAAAAAGTGCACGCCGTTGTGGCGCGAAGCACATTTCGAAGTCAAAAGTGTTAAAAACTGACGGTCTCGGACCACTTTTGGAAGTCGAGTTTCGAAAAAGTGCACGCCGTTGTGGCGCGAAGCACATTTCAAAGTCAAAATGTACAAAACACCAGGGGTTCGGACCACTTTTGGAGGCTCAGATGTCGAGTTTCGAAAAAGTGCACGCCGTTGTGGCGCGAAACATATTTGGAAGTTAAAATGTTAAAAAACACCTTAGGGTTTCGGACCACTTTTGGCGGTTCAGATGTTGCTTCGCTTCACTCGACTACACTACATTACACTACACTACGCTGCACTACACTACATTACACTACATTACATTACACTACACTTCACAACACTACAGGTTACAACTACAACTACACAACTACAGTCCACTACACTCCACTACACTCCACTACACTAAATTACACTACACTACACTCCACAACACTACAACTAAAACTACACAACTACACTCCACTACACTCCACTACACTCCACTACACTCCACTACACTAAATTACACTACACTACACTACATTACATTGAATGACACTGCACCAAAGATAGACAGGTAGACAGCTAGACAGATAGATAGATAGATAGATAGATCGATAGATAGATAGATAGATCGATAGATAGATAGATAGACAGGTAGACAAGAGTGAGAGAGATCAATCGCCTTTGAGTCCAGCAGTGGCTTCGCTCTGCCATCTCTGATTCACAACAACCAATCTCTCCTATAGGTTTCCTATTTTTGAAACTTCCGCCTCTGCCTTGTGCGGTACTACTGGTATCATATTTTTAGTGCTACATTTTATTAAAATATATTGTACGATATTTTATTAAATTATCTCTTATTATATCATAGTATTTTGTATTATTATATATTATATAAAATTGTTTTTGTTACAGTATCTCCTGTTCCAATATGTGTATAACCACTAGACATCCCTGGAGGTCCATTTTCCTCGATTCGGCTTTAGGTCAATTTTCCCGCGACGTCCTGGTCTGGCACGACTCCTTTGAGGCCGAGTTTTGGTAAATGGCATGGATGGAGATTGGAATGGGTGGATAATGAGTTCACAAAGAGGGGCGGACTGGATACTGGGCTGGATTTTGTTGAGTTCATTTTTTTTGGAAAAATGCAGAATCGATGACATAAAGAATCTTGGCATTGGGTTAATATTGGATTCATCATGGGTTAATCATGGTGGGGCTACATGGGAAGTCTCCAGTGTCATCGCCATGGCACATCCCCGTGGCCCATGGAGATTTCGGGAAAATCATCGCAGTGGGGGATTTTCCACGAGCAAACCGGAGGGTAAATTTCCATGAGGGGATCAGTCACATTTATAGTTGATTTACCTATGAAAAAATGGTGATGTTCCGTAGCAAACTGTTAGTTTACCAGAGGGTAAGTCACATTTATTTACTACTCAACTATTCTAGCGTGAACTCGTACCAGAGTTTTGATTAATCCCCCCCAAAAGGCGCCACAGTTTTGGAATCCCGGATTCATTCGTTTTTTTTTTATGGGATCCATATTCTCCAACACTACCAGGAGGATCCCAGGGATTGTAAGTGGTTACCATACTTACCCAGGTATACAAATGATAGCCTCTGGTAAACCTACAACGATTGAACATCACCATCTTTAAGTTCGGTAAATCAATGATTTCTATGGGCAATTTTCAATAGCCAGGATGTAACAAATTACCGGAGGGTAATCCCAGGAAATGGTGACACCAGGATGTGTAACCACTTACGATTCGTGGAAATTTTCCTCGGGGACAACGTTCGGAGACCGAGAAGCGAAAAAACAACACAAAAAATCGCCCAAAGCAGGATCTTTGACTTGTCCCCTGGTTTTTCTTGCCCAGATTCTAGCCAGACGCTTTGGTTTTTACTTTCCTTTCATGATGTGTTTCTGTTAGGAAACCACCATGAGTTTCTTTTCATGATCCACCATCTGTCATTGACCACGGTGTCGTAGACTTTCCATGGATTTCCGAAAAAAATTGGAGCTCTGATGTTGGCTCTAAACCATGGTTTACTCCAGTTAGGCTTCCGACATCTCCAAAGGTGTCAGTCCCTGAGCCCTTGTCCGGCCTGATTGGTGGCGCAGTTCTAAAAGCAGGCGCAGCTTGTTGGTTGGGTAAACCCCCAACCTGGCGCTGGGAAAGTGGGAAAATCAGGCCGGAGTCAGTAGGATAGTACAATATCAGTCAGATATCATCAGATATACACTTTGGTGAACTAACATAGCAATTGAACATGGCCATAGAAATAGTGGATTTTCCCATTAATAGCATGGTGATTTTCCATTGCGAACTGTTAGTTCACCAGAGGGTATGTTGTTGTTTTTTTGGTGCAAATATGGAACATCGGGAAAATCAGAGTCAGCAAGGGATGATTTTCTGCTTTCCGCGGATTTTTTTTGTCTGGGGAGCCCCGTGGCACGTCGTGGCAAGTCGTGGCAAGCACATGATTCCAGAAGATCATGCTGGTGATTCAATTTCTATATGAACATTACTGGTTTAATTGGAAAACCATAGGAAAACCATAGGAAAATGGAGGTTTTAATGGGAAAACCATAGGAAAACCATAGGAAAATGGAGGTTTAGCCTCTGGTAAACATACAAAAAACTATTGAAAATGGCCGTTTATGGTGAATTTACCCATTAATAGCATGGTGATTTTCCATAGTTATGCTAGTTTAGCAGAGGGTATATCATGATTTATTGATGAATCAGTACTAACCAAAGAATCACTTCCTTACTATCCAAATAGCAATGTATATTTCATAACAAAAAAACATAGTAACTCATCATTACTAACCACTACACCTAATTAACTATAGTAACTATAGTAACTATAGTAACTATATTAGTCACTATTTTACCAAAGTAACTATAGTAACTATCAACATAGATTAACACTAATTAGTTACTCTACTCCATGTTTGTTCATCAAAATTTCACAGGCCATCGTCGCGTGGACGTGAAGTTACCCAGTCTCTCGATGGAGCCAAAGCGCCCTGTGACTTGGTCACCTGGGGTCCTGGGTCCTGGAGGATCCCCAAGATATTGGTTAGATTTGGTTAGTATATGTTAGTATCCCCAAAAAAGCCTCTGGTAAACTAGTTCGCACTTTGCGAACTGGACAATGGTAATTGAGAAATGGTTTACCGAACGTGAACATGGTGATTTTCCATAGTAAACTGTTTCAACAACAGGGATTGACGATTATTGGCGGGATAAGAAAGGGTTGGAGTGTGAAGGATTTAATATCACTTGAAAAATAGGGGTTTTCACCATGTTTTAAGGGGTTTTAAGCAATGAATAATGACACTTGGGTGTGTCTGAAAATGGGCAATTTTGCCCCAAGGTAAGAATTTTAATGGTGAAAATAACGTTTTAATCGGACATTTGGAATTGGGTACCCAATGCTCAGACACACCCATATCTCAAGTGGTGAACATAAGGATGAAGTCGTTAACAGCCCTAGCCACCACCAGTATCTTAGGTGGTAACCATAATTATCTAAATGCCTCTTCAATTGAACAAAGGTTCTCTTCTTATCTGTTTATTTGTTTCTACGTCTTCACTACGCTCTTGCCAAAAAAACTCAGGTTTATTTTTTTTGATTTTTGGAATTTCATCCCCTCTTGTTGTCCCATCATCTTCCCGGGTTGCCAAGGACTGGGCTGAGCGTTGCACGCACGTGGGTCGGGTGAAACTGCCCCCCGCGGAGTGGAGCTTCCAGGAGTCCGACGCGCGCGGAAGTCACTTCGGGCAGCGCATGCTGGAGCTGTAACGAAAAACAACGACCGGTGGGGGGCTGGGGGGGGCTGGGGGGGGTGAGGTAGCTTTCCCCGTATTAGGGGGCCCTGGAACCTATCCCAACACTTGTGGTCAGCAGCGCAAGCTCTTTCCTTTTTACTGCAGGTTGCAGCAAGTCTTGAGCCACGGAGTGGCGCAGCGGTTTATGAGTGAATTACGGTAAACATGCTACATGTCCTAATGCAGACTGTAAAGCATTGTGTAGACACGTAAACATGAATACAAAAAGAAATCACAAACAGATACAAATTTTCTTCGTGTCGGAACATGCAAGATCTGCACAAGAAGCGCTCAGCTTGTGCTCTGCTGTGAGACGGTCCGAAGACAAAGACTGTACACTGTCAGCCGTGGTTTCGGCATGGGACAAATTATGGCGGCTTAGATGTCTCTTTGGTTTAGAGACCCATTGTAAAAGTATAGCCGTACAAATGCAGCTCGTTTGCTCTTCTAATGTGCGACGGCTGATTAAAAAAGATGCTTTCATCGGGCGTCTGCGGGCACATATCAATCCATGTGCCGTCATGTTGTTGTCGCCATCGCTCATACGGTGCATAGTACCCTGGTGCGTATTCTACCGTGTTTTGTTGTTGAGCCCAGCGAGAATATGCAGGCTGATAATAGCCGTGAGTGCGGCGTCCGGTTGAAGAGGAAGCTTGTTCTTCTTCTCCCTGTGCGAGCCATTGTGATGCAGAGGGATGTTGACCGGTTGGCGGTCTTCGTGGAGGCGATGGTGGTTGTGGTCGTACCGGAGGTGGTGGTTCTGGAATGTCACGTGTAGTGTTGGATGAAGCTGAGGAACGGGTGTTCCTCCAGGATGCTTGGTAGTGTGGCCGATTTTCGGCGCTTGCATTTCTCCAATATCCTCCTCCAGAATATGACCGATCCTCAGTGCGACTTCTGGTGTTACGTTCACCTGCTGGTGTTGTTGAGCGATCTCTGCCTCGGCCTTTGTTGTATCGCTCCCCATGTTCTCTCCATGGTGGAGTGGTTCCACTCGTTGGACGTGCTGGATGTGATGGAGGATCAGCAGGTTCTACAGGACGTTCTGGCCGTGGTGGCGGCAAAGGAGGCGGAGCCTTAATGCGAGATTGTAGGTATTCAATTCGTGTACCTGATCTCTGCTGAATTTCTTGATATTTCTTGATAGAAATTGGTGGTGCCTTTACAATGATTTTTGGTTTCGGATTATCAGTATCTGTTGAGGATGAGGTTGCTTCTGGTGCCCGTGGCGGCGCAGGTGGTCGTTTTGCGGAAAGAAAACTACTAGGAACTCGACTGGCTGACCGGCTGCGGTTCTCGCCGATGTGTCGATGGGAATCGCTTCGTAATGGTGGCATGGCATCTCTGCGTTCGCGGCGCTCTTCTGTTCTATCATCTCTTCTTTGCTTGTACAGATCATTGAGTCTATTCCAATTCTGGCGCCGGCGACGGTCACTTTCTGGATTTCTAATTCTGAGATTCTTAAATACCCTGAGATTTGCCATGACCATTATATAAAGGTGAATGCCAGTCACAATCGCTATCTCTTAATCCCAAATCATAATTATAAGTAAATGTTTCAAATGTTCCACATCAGCTAATGTTACCTCATCGTCAAATCCGGATGTCGGAACTCCATCGTCTGGAGGAGCATCTCCCTTGGCCCGGGCTTCGGTGACGCCAACTTGTTTGCCGTAGCACAATGAAATAAGGATCATGGGATCACAGTTGGCGCTTTCACCTTGCATTGCACGAATATATTCAGAAGCCATGGTTGAGGAAACAACATTATAAGTAATGGCATTGACCGGGTTTCGGTGTAAGTTGATCTGAATCAAAAATCTTTCGAGAATATCCATAAGAATTGACGATCGAAAATCGGAGTGATCGTCACGTTTGAAATTGCGTTGACTAAACAAGTTACCGTCTCCGGTGATAAAATCAATTTGGTAATTGATACAACAAGCAATAAAATTAAGCCAACGTTTGCAGGTTTCTGCATAGGCCCATGTCCAGGCATAACTGCTCAGGTGGAAAACGGCAATTCTGATTTCAGCTAAACCGAGACGGTGTACACTGTGGGTCACAGAATCAGAACCAACAGGCAAAAGTTCACATTCAACAACATCAGATTTTCCTTGAATTTCAATAATCTGTTCGGATGCGTCATTGGAAGACGCAAGTGGTTCCGGATGCGGAGAAATAAGTGATTCTTCATTAAAGTCAACATTAGGCATTGGTTCGCGGACTCCGGTTCTCGGATTCATAAATTCTCCTGAAGTGTTGCGACCAAATGAAATGCGAAAAAGGCAACCATGAATAATCCAGAACTTATTTTTATCCTCTTTATTCTCTGTCTCATATTGGTGCTGCACAAGCAATTCAATGAATGTTCCAAAGGAGGCGTCACCACGAACAAAAATTGCAAGGCTTTGGCTGTTGCTTTCGGGGTGCACGACCATCCCCATCATGCCGTGTTCGGCAGCGGCTTGCTGGTGTGCAGCGATTCCGCCATGTGCATCATGTGCCTCGCACAATGTGACAATATGGGCAACATTTCGAAAAACTAAATATGGAAGTGCACGGTATTGAATGTCCTTTCGAACCCAACTCGGGAATCTGTGTTTACCAGCAATATATGGAATTCTGTTAATGGCTCCTAGGTTCAAAGAAAGAATTCCCAGCTGATAACTATCTTTCTGTGTTTCAGCCATGTTATCCGATGTTCGGATTGCAATTCCCTGAGCGGCTCTTTTGCCCAACATACATGTGCGAAACAACTCAAGCAAACCTAAAACTTCATCATCCGAAAGCTCGGAATCTTCAGGATACGAAAAGAAAATCTCTGGTCTCCAGATAGGGAGAGATTTCTCATCCTGACAATCGACATAGTGAGTTTCAATAGAGGGAACACGTTCATCACCCTCGAGATCATAGACAAAATTTGCAAAATCAAAATCTTCAATACCATTTCGGGCAAAGCTCTGCAAAACCGTATTGCCAAATCGTTTTTCTGTTTTCAAAATTTCCATAAGATCATCAAAATTCTCTTTTCGAGTTCTGGACTGAGTGTCACGATCTGGACCAAAAACAGAGGCATTAGACAAAACTGTTTCCAAAAGTTCCTGAATATCTACCGTTGAACCCTCTGCTCCAATGCTATCTGGCATAAATTCAGCGGAAACCTCTGACGAATAGTTGACCACGTGGTGACTACATGCTCGGCCGTCTCTTCGGCACTGGAGGCAAAATGCTTGACCGCATGCATGGCACCAAAGCATTGAATTATCATTTTTACATGTTTCAAAATTTGAACAACATTGAGGACCAATTGGACGCGGCCACCAGGCGGTGGTTTCGAATTCATGATTGAAATCATCAAAAACCTTCTGAGCCGATTCGGCGTCCTTGAAAAGTTCGGTTGCATTGGATGTAGGCATTTTTGAAGATTTTCGGACTTCAGTACGTTTGCGAGCAGTCGCCGTGATGTCGGCAGGTGCAGAATCGGATTCGGGTGCTGTAAGATCTGCATCGGTTGTTTGCGCCGGAGTTTCGGCAGGAGACAAACCGACTGCTTTTGATTTGGCAACTGAAGTTGGCGTGTCCGTGGATCCGGAACTTCTCGTTGGTGCAGGTGGTGGTTTTGGTACTTTGACAGGCATCTGCTTAGCCAAAATAGGTTGAACTGGATGAGCAACGTATTCAGAGTCTGAAGAGTCGGAAATGTTGATATTTTGCAAATTACGGTCAGTTTCCTTTTTGACTCTCCTTTGGAAACGTTCAATTAACTGTTGACGGTCAGTTTCCTTTTTGACTCTCCTTTGAAAATATTCAATTAATTGTTGTCTGACTCGATCAGTTCTCTTTTCTTGGTCTGTTCTAGGAGGACCGCGAGCCATGTCGTTCGGCGTGGGAACCTGTCTAATTGGACGACTTGGAGCGGCATTCGGCGTAAGAATCTTATTGAGATAAGACTCAGTGATCAACATGTCAGACATTTGGCCAGTTAAATAGTGGGTATATTCAGAGTAATCCCACGTGAGATTATTGTCAGAATTTTTATTCATCTTGTTGTAGTATATCTGATATCGAGTGAGATGAAGGGCCGTCTCAACATCACCTCCATAATCGCGCATTCTGTCAAGTTCTTCCGGAGGTGGAGCCTTAATCCAAGTTTGATCAATCAGTGACCATACTCCGCAAGTTCTGTCCCATGGAACCGTTTGGTCGGTAAGCACATAACTGGTTGATGTTTTGATGGGACCCAGGTCATCAATTGCATCGTTACGGAGAAAAAGAATAACATCATTTTCTGGACGAATGGCATCCAACATAGTGGTCATCAAGAAATCTAGCGCAAAGTGCACGTGGCATCTGCCACCGCGTGTGCCTCCGGGCAATAATCCATTGCGTTGAATGGACTGTAAATTCTTCTCATCGGTTCCATGGATAAGATAATTGTTTGAAAATTCAATTGATTCATAAAGAATTGCTGGCAAATTCACTGGCTTGGAGTGTCCGGATTCGAAGCGAAAGAAAATGCTGGTGATGTTGTGACCATCGAGGTAATCGGCTTGTTCTTCACGTAGTTGGTCATCATAAAATCGGGCAGGCATGAACCAGGTATCTGGATTCGGAGTAGTTCCTGGTGTAAAATCTTCATCTGGCTGAAAACCTACCATGCAACGGGCCTTATTCGAATCACAAATGAGATGAGCAAAAGGCATAAGAAATTCAAATGTTCCCATCCGATTTCGAAGTCGATGCGGGACATCATCAAGGCAAACAGTCTTCAGAATGCTATCACTGTGTTTGAACATAGCTTGAATCTTTTTGGCAGTTCGTGCATGTGCAAGCAACTCATTGAGGGAAAGTGATCCATCTTCATGCCAAAGATTGGAATGTCGCATCATATAAGATAAATGTTTTCCTGCACTAACAAAGTTAGGATCACGAAGGATCCTATCACGATCTTGGTCAGTAACCACTCCTGCC